AAATAGATGGATTTTGTGTGAACACACACACAGTATATTTATGTGGGCACACAGAGATAATCAAAGAAACACTGATCAAGACCCGGACTACTTATATAACAGAAATGGCTGGGGAAGATGGGTGTGTATCTGAGTTGGTTTTTATTGTCTGCTTGCAAGAACAAGGGGAAGTCTTCATTAGGGCACCAGCTGGATCCCAGCTCAGGAAATCTCAATTCATTTCACATGCAGGCTAGCGGCTAATGATGTGCGCATGTGTCTGTCTGTCTGATTTCAGCTCTTTGGTCATCTCAGACTTGGGGGCATTCAGATTCCTTGCCAGGTTCCCATTTTTGGAGCATTTGTCTCCACCAATCACCCAGTAAGTCATTTGAGAAAGCAGAAATGATAGCAGGAGAAATAATGCTATTTTCAGACTCCCTACTAGCCTCTTGATCAGAGGCAGTGAGCCGCACGTTCCCTTGGAGCTCAGCAGAGACCTGGAAGGATCTAATCACTCTCTTTCTACCTAAACAAGACAAGAGCATGCAGGGATGCACAGGGCTGTCAACTCCCATTTGCAGACATCTTTGTGTATGAGCAAACTCCTTTCTTCTCCTTCCTCAGGGAGCCCCAAATACCCTCTGTCTTCATTACCCTGGGGAAAATAAGAAGCAAAGGGTCAACCATATCATCCCAGGAGCACTGGGGCCTGCCCACAAGTACGAACACCTACATAAACAAGAGGGGCTTTGAAGCAGGAGGGTGACTGGGAAGAACAGTGCTTAGCATAAATACTAGGCACTTTCTTTTCAAGGAGCATCTAACCATACAAAAAACCACAGGACACATTAGAGGGCAAGTCCCTCACTGTCCCTGCAGATGGGGATGGACTCAGCCTGACTGCACAGCAAGGTGTATGAGCCAGGGAATACATTTACATGGCTGTCCTCTCTCATAACAAGTGACAGCTCTGTTTGGATAAGCCACGGCACTCAGCAGCCTGTCCGCCACATGACAGGCCTGCAGTAGAGACAATGTGGGAGGAGACACAGATTTGGCTTCTCCTGCCTTTGTCAGCAAGGCTACAGAATCCTTGAGCACTTCAACTAGTCTAACAGCACCTGGAACCTTGTAGGACAAGCTCCCCATGGGATCTGCATAGAGGAGAGTACACGGTCCTTTTGACAAACAGCAGATGTGGTTCAGCTTCCTCATGTCTTTACAGCACAGTCAACTGAAACTGGAGATCTTAATGCCCCTGCAACAAGGAGATGGGGGAAGGCCACACAGAAATTGAGTGGAAAAGCCAAAATGGAAACAGAAGAGAATTGGGCACCAGCCCATTATCTCCTAACAGCCAGGCAAGGAGGTAGAGCAAATGAAAACAGGGTGACCAGGGCAGGAATGGAGACTGTGGTCAACAGACGACTGAACTAGAAACCAGCTGTCCCAGTATAGGACCACAAACGCAGTGTGTGAGCTTTGTGTCAGCAGGCCAACCTCGCCACCCTAAATGTCTGCAGCATATTTGCTAAATAAGTACTTTCTGGCTTCCTGAAGCCTATTTAAGGGGATAAATCTCCAAGAAAGGGCTTAGGTTCTGAACATAGCTGAGGCACCCAAGTCAAAACATTGCTATAAAGCCAGTCATCCAATTTTGAACTGGCAGGGAAGTCCACAGGGGTCTCCTCAAGAGACTCTGCAAGACCCCACATGCAGGTCATAAGTGAACTTGTCTGGTGGAACTGCGATGGCCACGTTTTCCTTCCCCTGATATTTGCCAAATGTTAAAAGCAGGACATGCTGTTCCACTCAGCCATGCCCTGATTCAGAAATACACAGCTCCCTGTGACTTCCCAGGCAACCACTGGGACCCTGTACTGCATCACGCTTCCCATCTCTGTGATGGATGTACCTCTGCTGGTTGCAGAATAAACCCAGTCACGGGGTTGTGGCCCCAATAACACAGCACTTCATAAAGTTGCTTGGGTCTCTCTTTCTGTTCTCAGATATTTATAATGGACCCATCCCCACAATATATCTGACCACTTCACTCTTGAACAGATATTTTTTTCTTGTAACCGTGCTTTTATCCTTGCTCAATAGATAAAAATCATGCCCACAGAGTTTCACAGACCCTCAAGTTGACGCAGGTGGTTTTGGGAGGACAGCAATGCTTTCATAAAGCAAAGAACATAAATGACTGGGACGGGCCCAAAAAAATGCCTCCAAACTGGCACCTGGCATAAGAAAACTTGGGCTGACACGTGCTGGGGAAAGAGGCAGAGACTAAAGCAGAGGGGAATCTCCAATTTTCAGTAGTTCATTTGGGCAAATCTGTACCTCTGTTCCCAGGTTTGCAGACACACCCACTAGACCCATGGATTCCTCTTAGATTACATCTCTAAAAGCCATTGCTCCAGTTCTCCTGCTTCCTCCACACTAACACAGCATGATTTGGAGTTCAGCTTCATTCAGCATCAAAGCTAGATCAGTGATTACACGCTGTGCCTGGCTCTGTGAAAAGCAGGGCTCCATCTGTTCCCACTGCAATTACCGCACTGCGTGGACAGACGTGATCTTGCATGAGGCACACAACTCCTCAGAGCCCCTCGTCTTTGACTGAGGCGTGTATGACATGGGATTTCATCCAAACAGAATCTATTGATGAGAGCAGGCATTAGCCCTGAGTACAGAATCCCTTCTTGGCCCAACTCTGCATTTCACCGATGCCAGTTTTATCTCCGGGTAGGTTGTTTTGATTAATTTCATTTAATTAATTCTATCATCTCAAGCTGTTCCCAGAATCTGTGTGAAGCCCATCAAGGTAGGAACAGAGAACATGATGCACGCAAACTGAAGACACAGTCCACTGGCTTCTCAATCTTCCCAGAAATAAAAAAACACCCCATCCTACAGGAGCACCTTTCAGACAAATGAAATCTGACAGTGCTTTCTGCTGCTTTTCTGCTCCCTGGTGGCATTTAATTCTGCAGTTGTCCCCCCTAGGGGCAGACATGTCTGCACTGGAATTGTGTCCCCTGGTCATCATCTCAAGATGCTATTTCATCCCTGCTTATAGTGCTTGGGGAGAAAAGAGGGAATTTATATCCCTCCTGGTCCTCCAGGAGGAAAGTGGTGGGATAATAACGCTCCATACCACAGTTCTCGCTCAGGGCACCTCTCAGCTTGTTGCCTGCCTCCCCTGCACTCAGGGTTTTTTTTCCTCCAGGAGGTCAACACACAGCCTCTACAGTGGTAGCATTTTCTGCTTATTCCTTTGTGCTGGGAGTCGTCCTGTCCCAGGAAACGCTCATCTTTGGCTACCCTCAGCAGTAAGATGCTTCCCTCCATCTCTTCACAGGTGCAACTACACAGTCTCTCACCTCCACTTTCCCCTGCAGACATTGACATGATGCAGTGACTTCCTTCCTTCTGTGATCCCTATGACCAGCTGCATGTGGTACAGCAGAGCTGGGAGAAGAGAGGAGACATGGCATTGGGATACAGCTGGACATCCTCTATGCTGGGGAAAGCTGTTCTCAGAAGGTCCCTGGAAGGTCCCTCCTGGCTTATGGTCCATGACACATTGTCTGACAAGCTGGGGAAGGACATGCTTGGGAGATGAAGGGCTGCTTCCCATGGTATAGCCAAGGATAAGAGGTCAGGCCCCTGATTCAGTGCTAGCCCGGACAGGGTCAGATACTGCCTAACATCTATAAAGTGAGATGTCTGGCCTCAGCTTCCTCTCAGACTTGTCAGTGGACTGATTCATTTGTGCTTACAAAGCACAGTGAATCTTACAGATGGAGAAGGCAAAAAGAGGTAGGAAGGCAGTAAATCAGGAGTGCCCAGGAACATTCTCCTAGACACATCTTGTAAACTAGCACCAAACGGCTCATGCCACTATTACTAAACTTTCTTCACCTCTGAAACAGTGACCTTATGAAAAAGCCTATTGGGAATGGTCCTGTGCCTACAACTCCCAAATCATGCCTGGAAATTTTCTGGGACAGTTCTAGTGGGACCAAGTCAAACCATGCCAGGGGTGTACTGACACTTACTTCTGACGATTGAGTTTGTATTCTAGGAACGTTTCCTGATGTTTTTTAATTTACTAGTAAAGACTTAATTACTAGTGAAGACTTAATGTCTGTTCTATTAAATTACCCTCAAAGTCAGTACTGCCCTGATAAAAATCAGCAAGTGTCCCTAAACCTTCCTGAAAACTTTGATTCTTCAGTCCTCAGTGATTATCTTTCCATCTCCTCAGTGACTGTGGAACAAATTATTAAATAATCAATTTGTTATCACTTAAAGATAATCAGGCGATAAGAAAAAGCCAGCAGAAAGAAAGCGAAGAACAAATCATGTAAAACTGTTTAACTTTCTTTGCCACAGTAACTGGAATAGTGGAGAGAGTAAGCCCAGCAGTGAAGGCTATCCTGATGTGTAGTAAGGCTTTCTGAAACAATCCTGTATGATATTTGTCATGGATATGCGCTCTGCAACTACTTATCAGTAGTTTGCTATCAGACCAAGAGGACTTACAGAGATCAGTCCAAGGGCTGCCTGGCCAGATCTATCAACTAGCTTCCCCAATGACTTAGATGATGAAATAAAGTGCGTTTATAAAATGCATAGTTGGCCCCAAGTCTGGAAGAGCAGGCAAGACTGAAGGCACGACAGGAAAAAAAAATTGGAGAAATAGCTCACAATCAGCAATCTAAAATTTCATAGAACTAGTGAAAATACTGAACTGAGAAGGGGAAGAAATTAAATGCACCAGTAAAGAAAAAAAGTGCCTAGACCTCAGCACTGAGGAAATGCATTGAGGAGTTACAGGACCATGAACTGATTATGAATTGCCATTGAGAAGGTATTGCATTAAAAGGCAAATTTCCTTCTAGGCTGTATTACTAGGGCACACTGCCTATAAGACAAAGGGGGTGTCATGATCCAGATATTAAAATTATTAGAAATGCCTTTGCCCAAATTAAGGTGCAAACAAGACTATATGCCGAAGTCAATAGTATGGATTTTATTCAACAGTAAATGTGAGGCAGAGAGAGAGACAGAAAGAAATAGGAAAAAAGGGGTGGGGGGAGGGAAGAAAGAGAGTGATGGAGATTAAATAGAAAATGCATCACCACTCTGTGGAACCCAGTGGCATCTTGCCGGTCTGGTTCTTCTGGTCTTCTTGGTGGTGAGGGTCCCGCAAAACACAGAGTCCAGTGGATTAATATACGTTCAGGAGATGCCCAGGCACCTCCCCTGGGCAAGCTTTACAGTCTCTTGAGACAGACTCTGGATTAATTGCATCACTTGGATCACAGTGCAGTCCTTCGGTGGTAGAAGGCCTCAGGAATGAGTCTGGACGGCACTTTGAGGGTCTTTGATGGTTTATGACCCCTTCTCAGTTCCTCTCACGTGAATGTCCTGTGTGTATGTGGCCTTCCTGGAGGGGGGAGTTAGTCGTGTTTTGTGTGGAGAGATTTCGTTATCACACGCCCAAAACCCTTCTCCTCCTCCACTCACTCAGCCTTGTTTACTTCTTCTTAGACCTGAAATAATTAGACAATAATCTTATCTCAAGTTCCCATCACAGTCTAAATTACAGTCAGGAAGCATATGGGGGGGGGTGGTTTTGGGAGGGGAGGGCGTTTCGGTGGTCGCAGACAGGCAGTTTTTTCCTTGCAGTTTGACAAAAAGTCTTTCTATGATTTTGACAATGTTTAAGACAACAACATATCGGTCTTGCACAGGGGGTAATTTTTTCTTTCTCCATACCCCCAAGTTAAAGAGGATTAGTCTAGGTTTGGACTGCAGAAAGGTAACAAATGGTATATAATAGGTGCAAAACATATAGGGTTGAGAGGATTTAGTCTAGCAGGAAGAAAAGAGGGAATATGATGATGAACCTCAAATACATAAGGTTGTTAGAAGATGTGGATCAATTCCTCCCCATGTGTGCTGAGAATGGGTCAAGATGCAACAAGCTCAGTTTGGTTACAAAGAGGAGAGAAACCTTCCCAACCATCAGTCAATGAGCAGTGTAGCAGGTAGGAGGTGGCAGCATCCCTGGCACTCCTTAAGCACAGATAAGGCAAACATCTGCTTGGGTGGCATCAGGGCACCCCATCCTGCCTCTGGGCATGTAGGTGGAGTGTCTTCTGAATTTTCCTTTCAGACTGACACTTGTGTATTTTTAGTTTCTAACATCACTTCATCACTCATTTTGGCTGCAGGGATGTGACCCCCAGTGCAGGGACAGCCTAATCAGAGACCCTGAGCAATCTTACCAGGACTTTAATCCAATCTCAGTACTGGATATGTTATTTGGTGTTCACCTGTATGTCATCACATCCTACACCTTCCTCTTACAGGCTTTCTGTTAGACTATCCCATTCAAGAGATTACTAAAAACTATTCCACTCTTTTCCTCTTACCCCTCTGGCAGGAGATGTGTTCCATAATATGATTGCTCTCACAGCTAGAAACTTCTGATTTCCAGCTTAGATATGTGCATGGCCAGTCAGCAGCCATCAAGTCAGCTTGATATGGAGTACTTCAAATTCATACTCATGTCTGTGGTTATTCTAAAATACAGAAGCTGATGACATTGCATGCGAAAAACTTCCATCTCTTTTCCTCAGGTTTCAAGAAGGAAAATATTACAAGTTTGCTGAGGAAAAAGAACAGTTGTTCTTTCTTGCATTAGCATGCAGATGACCTGAATGACATTACAAAGGAAATTAAGATACAACACAGGGAAGAATGAAGACAAGGTGTCAGCTGAGGGCAGAACCAGGAGACCCAAGACCACATAACAGGCATAATGAAGTTACCAGCTTGATGGATTTAGGAGTGCCAGGAGGAGTAACATGAGAATTGAAAATTGCTGCTTGCAACAGTGGGAATGGTGGCTTCTTGGTGAGAGAGGAACCAGTTCCCCTTTTCAGTCTTCCCAAAAGATGTAACAACAAAGGTCACAGTCGTTTGCCTGGAAAATGGTGTATGTTTGTCTCTGAGGAGAAGTGTACATGTGAGAATTGACAGTCCTGCCCTGAATCAATATTCACATTTGTAAAGGAGAAAATGCTTTCTGCTGAACTGATGGCTATTTCAGCCCATTGCAAACCATAACAGATGGCTTTCTTCAAACCTGTATGCATTTTTAGATTGTATTTACACTCCCTAAGCAAGTCTTCTGTCTAAGAGGGGAAAAAATAACATTCTCACTCTTTTTCATTTTCTCCCTCCCCCTGACGCTGTGCTTTTCCGGAGCTGCTGGGTGGGTCCTCCTCAGCTTCTTTACAGCCTTCTGACTGAGCTGCTTCTGCTTGGAAAGCAGTTATCTGTGTCTCACCTTGGAGGTGGGAGTTCTGGCTCCTTTAGGTTCAGCAGTATAGGCTCTGTATCATGGAGTCAAGTACCAGACCGGGAAGCAGAAAACAGTACAGCTGTCCCTCATTTTCTCCAGACATAAAATGAGATTGATGCTGTTACCAACACATACTACCTCACGTAGTAAAAATGTAGGGGGCTGTTGTTTGAAAGAAAAATGAAACACACTAATTAGGTATCAGTAATATCACTCTTTCTATGACAGGCATCTGCACTCCTGCCATCCTAGCAAAATTTCAGTCAGCAGAGGCTATTTAGTCAAAATGAAAATTCAGTCTGTGTGTCTAATAAATGCTGCTGCTGCCCAGCCTTCTATTTTTTGGTCAGCAAATAGATCTGCTGTTCTTTGTCATGTAGCAATCATTTCCTACCCTGAAGACAAATGCATTTCAGTAGTTCTTGGCTGGCTGTTTTTTTCGGGTTGGTTGGTTGTTTCTTTTTTAAATACCAGATAGCAGTGTTTCATAAAAAGCTTTCTTGGGACAGAACAAGAGCTTCCATGCATATGTAACATTGTGATAAGCATCTTGCAATGAACTGGCTAGCATGCACAAAGTGCTGTCTGCTGGTAGATCACAAAGCCCACTTTTCCTCAGCTGCTTTAACATAAAGCTGATGTTTGAGTAGGAAGTCCCAAGGACAGCCTTAATCACAGAATCACAGAATTATTTCGGTTGGAAAAGACCTCTGAGATTATCGAGTCCAACCCGTGACTGATCACCACCATGTCAACTAGAACTTGGCACTAAATGCCACATTCAGTCTTTCCTTAAATACCTCCAGAGAGGGTGACTCCATCATTTCCCTGGGCAGCCCGTTCCAATGTTTAGCAACCCGTTCCATGAAAAAATTCCTCCTGATGTCCAGAAAAAAATTCTCAGTGATCCTAACATGCAGCAAAGCAGCTGTGCTGGGTCTGCCTGGTGTTTCCAAAATTGCCTTCTTTCTAGGTGAGCCCCGACCCCCAGCAATACAAGAGCTGGGCTGGAGTGTCCTGCCCAGTGCAGGCCAGGAGCTGGACTGCACTGACTCCCTTTGGGGGAAAACCAGATGATCAGTTCGGATCTGCCCTCTGGGACAGACAGGACAGATAGTACCCTACAGACCCCCCGCCCGAGGGAGCAGGGGTTTCTGAGGGGTGGAGAGGCAGGACGAGGCAGGACCAACAGGTCCCACCTCAGCTTTCCGGCCTGCTCAACCTCCTCCAACCATCCCTCATCCATCACCACTGGAACGGGCACAGCAGCCTCCGGGCAGCACCGACACAACGCAGGAGGCACCGCTCCGGTTGCCACTCGCTCCCAGTTGTGTCCAGACCACGCCAAGAGGGATCCCAGGGCCAGGCCCAGCGGCTCCGACGGAGGGCCTGGGCAGCAGCGCCCCCACCAAGATGGCGCTCGCTCCCCTCCCCGCCCAGCGCGGCCCATCACCGAGGCGTGCGCATGCGCGGCCGGGCCAGGCCGGACCATGGGCAGGCGGCGCGCGGGGCCGAGCGTGGCCCGGGAGGTGAGGGGGGGCGGGGGCCCGGCCGGGTCGGGAGCGGGAGCACCGAGCACGGAGCACCGTCCTCGTCCTCACCGCCGGGCCGTGAGCGATGGCGCTTGGTATCCCTGCTCCCGCCGAGCCCTGGAGCCAGTGCCGTGAGGGGCGGTGGGGCTGTGCCCGCCTCTGCGGCCCCAGCGCGGTGTGGGCCTTGCGGCGGTGGGAGTCAGCCGTGTGCGGGACACGGGCAGCTCCTTCTGCTTCTTGTGAGGAGCCCGGTGGTGAACCAGCACGTGAGGGGCCTGTAAATCACAGCGAGGAGGAGGGGGAAAGGCTGTTTTTTAATAACACGGCTCCCTTGTAAAAATGCCTTTTTATTGTTGCACTTGGGTGTTTTGTCTCCCTCACCGGAGATACTCAGGAACTGTCTGGATGCAGTCCTGTGCCATGTGCTCTAGGATGGCCTTACGTTGGACCAGATGATGCACGGTGGTCCCTTCCACTCTGACCCATTCTGTGATTCCATGATTCTGTAATCTGCTGAGCGGCAGGAGGGCTGCTGGTAAGCTTTGTTGAAGGTTTACATTTGTGTTAACAGTCTGAGTCGTGTTATTAAGGTCTCTCTGAAGCATACGTGGTTCTGGCTCCTGCGCTGAACAGTGACTCCGAGGAGGCAGTGGAGAGCCTGTAGTTCAAATCTGAGGGTTGTGGATACTTTGGGGACAGCAAAGGCATGAAAGCTCATCCCAAATGGCTGAGATGGGGCAGAATCGATGAACCAGTGAACTTCACTGGTCACCTTTCTGTCCTGAAGCCTTTCGGGTGAGATTATGCATAGCAGACCAAAATAACCGGAGTAGAAAGGCCAGGTAAAGGATTTGGGGCTTGTAGTGTTTGTGTCATCAGCCATTAACCTAAAGGCGAATGTCACAGAATCGGTAGGGTTGGAAGGGACCTCTGGAGATCATCCAGTCCAATCCCCCTGCCAAGGCAGGGTTACTTACAGCAGGTTATACAGGAACGTGTCCAGGTGGGTTTTGAATGTCTCCAGAGAGGGAGAACCAAACTTCCCTGGGCAGCCTGGTCCAGTGTTCTGCCACCCTCAATGTAAAGAAGTTCTTCATGATGTTGAGGGGGAACTTCTTGAGCTTCAGTTTATGGCCATTGCTCGTCCTCCTGTCGCTAGGCACCACTGAAAGGAGGCTGGCACCATCCTCTTGGCACCCACCTTTGAGAATGCTGTTGAGATTCCCTCTCATCCTACTATGTCATATGATTGGGAATTCAGTTTATAGTAGTTTTCTTGTCTGTTTCATTGGTTAGGCTTTCATTAGAGACACAGATGTTTCTAGACACTCTAGCCCAAATATAACCACCAAAGGGAGTCCAGAGGAGAGTGTGCTGACTGTCCAAGCTTCCCTTTGGTGAGCCTAGCAGGGAGTTGAAATGCTTTTTTGGTGGTTGTTGTTTGAGATATGGTAGACAAGGGGAGTTGAAGTAGTAGGGTCTACCTTACAAAAAGAGAGATGGTAAAAAGGTTGAGCCTGTCAGGGATCTCTTGGTCACAGAATGAAAAGAGACTGATTTTAGCTGCCAGAGAAAATTCTTGCAAAGTGTCTGGGGACTTGTAGTTGGTTTAGGTTTTGGGGGGTTTTTTTAGAAGTTGTCATGATGGAACACACTAGTTTTGAAAGGACTGTAGAACTACTCTTTTTTGGTGTGTTACAGGTGAAAACCTCTCAGTGCAAAGATACTGCTAAAAGATAAAATTCTTTCCACTTGCAGTGATGACAAAGGTACTGAATAGCAGTTAGGGAGGAAGAAAACAAAATCCCTTTAAGCCAGAGGAAGAGAGCTGTGTTTCAGGTATCAGAATGCATGACAACCAAGATATTGATTTCATAATTTAAACTTTTATTCTATTCCGTATTACCTTCTGAGCTGTTATGATTGTACAGAAAACTTTCCAAATGAGTCTTAATATGACATTATACATGATAGTTTTGAAAGGCCTCATCTAAGCAGAGTCATGCTTGTTTAACTGAAGTCATGATGCTAAATGAATGCAATTTTCCTATCACATTGGCTTGCACTTACAAATTGCAGGTGTAATTAATATGATCTGGTTTAAACCGATATAAATGCGTCTCCATAATGTTGTGGTGGTTTAAACTCACCTCACTTCTTTCCTATAGCTCTCTAGTCTTTCAACAGGCAGCCCTACTGACAATGCTGAGCTGCACAGAACTCTCTTGAGGAAACTCGTCAGGCAAATGAAACTGAGGAGACTGGTCCATTTTGTAGCAAAATAATGAAAATGGAAAGAACTTAAGAGAGTGACAAGGATGATCAAAGGTGTGGAAAACTTTTATGCAAGATTCTGCCAAGCATTCCAGGTCCTTTTAAGCTTGAAAACACAACTGCAAGGGGACCCAATATAGGTCTATATCCTCTGCATGCGATTTGTAACTTTAAACAAAGAATGAACCTTCACTGTCAATAAAAAATTAGGGCTGTCAAATGAAACAAGCAGCTGACTAGCTCAGAACAAACAGAAGGGGTTCTTCCCATAACCTGTGGCTGTGCTGTGAAACTACCTTTCAGAGGATGTTGTAACCCTTAAAAATATACTTGTGGGTCAGACAACAACTGAAAAAAAAAATAACGGAAGCAGTACAGTGCATTAAATGCAAAGACAGTGCACTCAGACAGTGCCAAAGCTGTAAAATGTCAGGTGTGTGTTTAGAGAAAGTATTGTTACTTTGTGTATTGCTCCTTCTGACAAGGCAGTTTCTAATGACTATCTATGGAAGAGCATAAAGAATAGGGAAAAGGCCAACATAGTTTTTACTCAGTAAAGCTGTTCTTACAGAATTTTTCAAAAAGCACTGGTCTGAGCTGAGGCAGGATATGCTTGTGGGATAGTCTCTCCAAGGCTGAAGGAAGAGATGCAGGTAGGATCCAGCCTTTTCTCCTTTAGCAATGCAGAGGGTTGTTCTGCAAAATTTATCTTAGAGTTTGCTGGAGGATCATCCTCTGCTGTGTAGTAGCTTGTCTGATAAATATTTCCAAGCACACTGTGGGTAGAACATGTGTGAAATTATTTGCCAGCATGCAAAATGATTCCAGGAGCGTGGAGAAAATGGAAGTGTGTACATGAACTGCAAGTTAGCACTTGAATTTAAACAAAACTTGTTTCTGCTGGACTGATAATAATCCAGCCAAATTTGTGGATGAAGGAACCGTTAAGTCTTCTGTGAAAAGAATGGCTCAAGTATGCTGGCAGGTGATAAGGCATGTAAAGACTGCTCAGACAAGGGTTTTTGCATTTGCCCCTACCTCTTCAGTTGGCTTTGATCTGTTTTATGAGGGTCACAAGATGAAAACCTCATTACCTAATGCTGTTGGATGTCAACGTATGTGTGATATGGCTCTTTGCCAGTATCTTAATTAGGGAATTCATAAAAGCAGAGGGTGGATGCCAGTTCTTGAAAAGCGCTTTTAGCCTTTCTGCTGGAAAGAAAGATTTTATTAATTCATTACAAAATGTATTAAATGGGATCCAGCTCAACTCTGTAAGCAAAGCTGCTTCTTTTTCTCTTCTCTCTTTGCCTTTATGTGAGCCATTTTGGGCTCCCTGCCCAAGATGGTCCCCGCAAATGATATTTGTAATCAGCATATAAGTCACTTTGGATTGAAATCCATTCCAGGTCCCTCTGGCTTAAAAAGGTTTCCAGATTGTGAGCGAGTATTGCCAGAATTCAACAAAAATAGCCCAATGCCTTGTCATACCTGTGGAGCAAAGGAGGCATCTGGTCTTAGATCTCTGTGTGCATCCAAAGCTGCTGGGACCTGACTTTGTGGAGTGTCTAATGATGAGCTTCAGAAGGGCAGCTCTGCACGCTCTGAGCTGCTGCCTGGATGTGAAGCACCCATTTCACTCACCTCTTTTAACTGGCACTACTTACAGATGTTGCTGTGAGTGAAGTCCTGTGTCCCTGCTACCGGCTGTGAACCGCGATGAGTTGTCATGTGAGCTTTCTGAGTGCTGCATTTCAGCTCTGTCCCAGAGGATTCCCTTCATGGAAAGGAGAGCTATAGGGAGGAAGGCTTCGTCGTTGCAACTTATGAGACACTGTGCTGAGCTTGCCACTAAAATGATAAGGCGGTGTGAAGTGCAGGGATGGGTCAGCTAAGCGAGCTTGGCTCTTTCTTTTCCTGTGGGCTTCCAGTATGCCTAGGTACGTACCCCAACTAACCTTCTCCTGTATTAGTTAGTAGGAGGGAAAGCTTTCCATCCACAGCTAGCTCAGGTGAGCCCCTGCTTTTAGGATTGCTCTCCTGGAGAGCTGCATAGGGAATTATGCCAAAGCTCAACAGATTTTCTTGTGCTACCGTTTTACAGACTATGCTCCCCTGGGAGTTTCCTGAGCAGCCCAGAGAGTAATCAGTAAATCCCAGGCATTAGTCTGATTTTTCCCTGTGCTTATTTTCTATTTCTGCCTTTCCTTTGTCCTGCAGTGAAGAATTATTTGGATGACTGAGCTGCCGAGAGACTTCTGGCTTGCAGGAACTGATCCCAAATCCCAAGTGAGGTAGCGGCATTGTCTGAGGCTTCTAGTGCAAATGAGCTACCTTCAGGAGGCAGATGGTATTGTCCCAGTTTATGAGTGGGGAAACTGAGGCATGGTGAATGGATAACATCTGTGAATCCTCACTCTGTCCTTTCTTACAACCCCTAATTCCCTAGACTAGCTGGAAGAGCAGAAATAGAGAGATTCTGAAGGAAAAGTATTTTGTTCATTCAGCAGTCTGTTTCTCCTTCCTTCTTTTTTTTTTCTGATTATTTTCTGTCCCTTGTGCCCTCAGCTCAGCAAAGCTGATGGTGCAGTTCTAGGGCATGTGGTTTATTAGCAAATTATTGCTCTCCAGCAGGGGACCCAAACTTTGGTTTTGATTTAAGAGCAGTAACACCAGTTGAAACTTTTAAAGTATTATGTGGAATCTGGAGATTTTTAGTCAGCAGAAAGTAAAAGCGTTGACAGAGTTGGGTGGAGTATCCTCTTGTTGAGTCTCATGAAATGAGGGAAGTATGAGCAGAGAATGTCCTAGTGAGAGCAACTGCAGACTGCCCAGGAGGAGCAGTTCTGGAGGAGAGGAGTGCAGTGGCATGGATTAATTTAGTGGTGGGATTGGCAGCTGACTAAAGCTCTCATTAAATTGTTATTATTTAACATTATTTTTAAATGTATTTCCCAGGAAGGCATGGTGCATTGTAATAAGTTTACTGGCTAAGGAGTAGCCAAATAACACATACTGGAGCATCCCTTGCTGTGTGTGCATGTGAGGGTTTCCGATATCTAAGGGAGCAGAGACAGTCATTTTTAAATGGTAGGAGCTGGTGAAGGTGATGGTAGTTCTTAAACTGGACTGGATGGACACCCCACCTCTACTCTGCTGCACTCTGCCATTAAATTAACTTGCTGATAACTGTGGTCAGAGTTGACCTGGGCAAAGCCCTTACTTGGCCCTGAAGCATCATGCTGACTGACCTGTAGTGGATGACATACTGATGAGCAGCTGGAATTAACATTCCTAACTGGCACAGCTGGAGATGGAGGAGAACAGTTATCTTTGCCCTGACCAAATGCATTTTCAGCTAACATGATTCAAAAATATCCATTTCCCCATCCAGGCAAACCCAAGCATTGCCAAACACAGAAGTGCCGTTCCATGTGCTCTGGATCAGGTGATGTGCTTTGGTGCTCCCCTTGGGCTCAGGGGAAGCTGTGCAGGTGCCTCTGGGGAGCTTGGCATCTCAGCAGCCCTAGCAGAGTTGCCTAATAACACAGGACTTTGAAATTGCTATCTGGTAAATAAAAGACTTACTTGAGCCTTGTTATATGTGTCCTGCTGCCCAGCTCTGCTGTGCTCCTTGCAGTGAGACTATTCAGCTGACTGGCTAAACTTCTTTTTATGGTCTGTTTTGTTCCCCGTTTTGCGTCAAGCCTCTTCTCACGTCCTGCTTATTTATGATGCTTGCCTGCCTTTCCTGAGCAGAAGGTGTGAATTGCTAATGAGCTCTGGACAGAGCTGATCCCCAAAGCAACAATAATTAGGGATCACTACCTTTGATTTTGTTTCCCTTATCACTGTTTATGGGAGTGTTTGTGCTCTGAGCCACCTTAGAGCCGCTTATGTCCAGGCAGCTTATTCCACCTCAGTACTTTTCCTGGGACTGTGCTGCCTCTCAGTCTCTAGTGTGTTAAGGCTCCCACCACAGAGAGGCTGTGCTGCCTTCCATCTAGCCAGCCCTGGCCTTCCCTGGAGAACCAGGCACAGCAGGAGTGTTGCGCTAAGTAGCTAAAAAGAGAGGTCATTGCCATCTCAGGGCACCAAGGCTGTTTGCTTTCAGGCTAGGCTGTTGTGTTCATATTATCTGATTAGTCCCACTGTTTCCCTGCTGGCAGCAAGCTTGAAAAAAAGTTTTCCTAAAGATGTCTATGCTCTGGTTGCCAGGCAGAAGAGAGGAATGATTCCCAGAACTGTTGCCCACGGTAGGATTCCCTCCTGGGCAATCCCTTTGCACACAAGTAGATCAACCCCTCCTATGCTTAGCCACAGTTACTCCCCTCCACAGGAAGACACAGGAGGAGGGTAGCTGTTAGGATGCTTGATGAGGAGACACAAGGAGATGACCAGTGTTCTTCTGCATGGGAACATGTTGCTGCCAAAATTTGGTGCAAGTGGAAGGTATGGAGGCAGGGTTGAATGCTCTCTTGAGCATACTCTGCAGACCACTGTTGCTGTTGTAGATTTAGTTGGGTAAAAGATGGTAGGCATCAGTGTTTCTTTCCCCTTTTTCCCCCTTTTCACCCTCAGACAGCTGAGGGTGCTTCGTAGGCACATCCCATGAACTTCTGCATCCATTCACAATGCTAAATCAAGACCTTGTCCCTCAGGCTTTGGCCTAGGCCAGTCTGGTTTTTTTCTTCTTAATTGCCTCAAGATGCCTTAGATCACATCTTTGCTTATGGACCCACATGCAAAGAAACTAGAACAGGCTGGAACAGGACCAGATCCTAGCGGAAAGGTGCTGGCCAGCCACAACTGGCAGCATCAGGGCTGGCTTGGCTGTGTCTGGCATTACGATGTCATAGTTGCCTGGGGTATAATACAGGCTGATCTGGGAGGTGAAGGGTTTTCTGTGCTGTGAGCTCTACACAGAGCTGGGGCTCCTCCCTTGATTAGGGCAGGAAGAAGGTGGAGTGGCTGAGCTGCCACCCTTCTCATCTGCGTGGGAATGGATCGGTGTTAGCTGAGGCAGGAAATGATGGTGACTGGTGTGATGTTTTTCAGATCGATGGACTGGAGGAGAAGCTGGCACGCTGCAGACAGAGCATGGAAGAGGTGGATCTTAAGCTGCGCAGGGAGAAGCTCAGCCCTGAAGGAAGGTAGTGATGACCACCTCCTTCTACAGGTGTGGCTGTGCACTTCAGCTACCTGTCACCCTGCTGTAGTACTGAGCAAGGGCTCTTGAAAGGATGGGAGTCTGTGGTTCCCCATGACAAGACTCTCTTCCCCCAGCTTGGAGCTTACTTGGGGAACTTGCTGTGTGAGAAGTTCAGTGATATATGGAGAGAGCTTTATCTTCTTAACAGCCTGACTCCAACCTGCACCACAACCAGACAAGCAGTGCCCAAAACTTGCCACTTAATTTGCAGATCTGACTCCTGGCCTGCTAGGAGACAGCTCTGTGAGTCTGGCAAAGGTTTGCTGCACGCTGTTGCTCAAGCCTTGCCAAAGCTGCATGAGTTCAGTCAGGGGAGATGTGCAGCAGCTACTACTGAGGGCCAAACCAGCTGGGATGCAACTGCAGAAGGGGCTGAGGGAGATTTCCTGTGCCTATGTTGCACGTGTGTCTGGATGTAGGGATGCATTGACACACTGGCTTTTCTTGGGAAAGCTAAGAGGGACAATCCCCCTGAAATCTGTCACTGCCATAGAGGTAGCAACTGTTGGCTTCTAGAGCTGGGATTCAAGCAAGGACTTTGGCCTGGATTTTGTAGCAGACAGAGGCACAACCTGCTTTCTCTTGAGTGTGAAGCAAGAGATTCTAAGTCTTCCAGCTGATTCTCAAATCTCTCAGTTTGAGGATATTCTTTCAGTCACCTGAGATTAGCTCAGTTGGTCAGAGCTTGGAGCTGTTAACACCAGGGGCATGGGTTTGATCCCCATAGGGGCCATTCCCTTAAGAGTTGGACTTGATGATCCTTGTCGGTTCCTTCTAATTCAGAATATTTTGTGACTCTGTGACCAGCATCCTACTGCTCTGCTCGTAGGAAAAAAGGCCAGGAAGCTCAGTTATAGACCCAGGGAGTGGTTCTGTTGATCCTGGTGTTTGCTCTACAATGCTGTCCAACAGAACCCATTAGAAATGATCCTAGCAATGGTGATGTCTCCATACCCTGATATTTATCAGCCTCAGTTTAACTTCTTTGTTAAACTCTCATTTGCACTCTCCCCTCCCTGCTGCTTTACTGGGGTTTTGGATCCCCATCCATATTTAGACAGGGTCCTGTCCCTCATCTCTTTAGCTCTTCATCTCATCAGTCCTTTTCTAGGCGTAAATTCTTCTTGTTTACTGTGTGTATTCTTTATCTGGTACTTAGATGGCCAACAACCAAACCTACAGTTGTGATAACTTGACAGGATGGAAAAGATGATGGTTTCTTTCTGAAATATAGGGCCTAGAGCAAAGAATTAGAAACAGAGATTCCTGGGGCCTTTTCTGAATTTTACAGCTTGTATGGAGATAGAAACAGAACTTCAGTTGCCCTATTCCAGACCATTTGAAAAACCCTGAAGGAAGGTACATACTGTGACGAAAATTATTGATTCGGTGCACAGTACACAAAGGAGAGCTCTGCTTTCCCACTTTGAAGTTCAGTTGTCATGGTTTCTTCATGTCTCATTCTCAAAGCTTCTTCCCTTGACTCTCTTCACAAGGCAAGTTTCTAAGTAGCAGCTCAGTCATGTTGGTAAATGTCTTCTCCCTTCCTCCTGGCTACTCTCCCCCTTGCCTTTCCCCAGCTGTATTTAAGAACCCTTTCCTCTCCTGCTGCTCTGCTGTAGTTTGCTTTCTTGCCATCCCTTACTTAACTAGCTGTACAAATAGATTTGGATTTCTTTTCTCCTCCAAGTTCTTGCTCTGCCCCAAGGGGAACAACAAACTCTGTTACACTTACTGCCTTCTCTGAACCAGGAGATAATTTGTTAGTGCATGTGTATTGATGTTCATAGTCTGAAAGGAGTGACTGTGTCTGCACTGCCAGAATGGAAATGCTGCTGCTTTCAGGAATTTTGTTTTGCATTTATATTTTAAACTGTGTATTAATTAATCATCTTGTGCAGTTTAAGACAAGGGCTGGGTTGGCCTGTTATTATCATGAGTTTTCAGCATAATAACAGGTTGCTTAACTGGTTGCTACTGAGCTTGGATTCAGCTTGTTTCCTTGAGTTTACCAATTTGTGTAAATTGGATACCTCCCAACACAGGGATCCCGGCTTCTATCAGTGAGAATTACTGTTGCAGCACCATGCCAGTGTGCTGGAGGTGCAGGATTCTGCAGAGAGCACTTGGGGACCCTGCCCTATGTCAGAACTTCCTACCCCACCTGGGGGAACTAGAGTAGGGGCTCTCTGACACACAGACCCCTTTGTAGCTGCTTCAGGAACACTGACACTGTCCTGAAAGAAGAGACAGGAAGCAGTTTCAGGGAAGGCAAAAATAATCTAAAATGCTGCATCGCTTCTCTTGCGCAACTGGGTGTTTCTAAACTGTCATCACTCCACAGTGAAGGGTGAGGGGCTCATTCTGTGAGCAGATATCCCCAGCAGTGGGACAGTCTCTCTTCCATCATGTAAGCAAAGAAATAGGCTGTGTTGTGCCTCGCAGGTAATGAACTCCTCTTCTCATTACAGAAAGTCACTGGAGAGAGAGAGAAACTTACTAATGACCAAAGCTGACAACTATGGTAAGAGCTTCATTAAAAATGGTCCCTCTGGGCTGGATGGGATCAGTGCTGCAGCTTAGCTTTGTCTTCAAGCTCCTGCCACCTCTGACTTCTGCCTTTGAATTTAAGTTCAGCCAAAGGGAGCTAGACTCAGGGAAATGTAGTCAGCATATTATGAGTCTGTATCCTCCTGCTTGAGCTGTGCTACCATAGGGGAAAAAAAATAAGCATCAGCTAATGAAGGGGGGGAAAATGTCCCTTTCGCATACCCCAAATTACTAGTCTTTAGATAATCATAGCTAACAGATCAGCTTGAGTAGCTTTTAACATTTCTTCCTCCCCTTTTTAATTTTTTTTCCTTTTTTTTTTTTTAATAGAAGCTTGCTAAGCAAGCTGGCAAGTGCTTTCAGGAGTGTTGCAAAGTATACCTTCCTTGGGGAAGGTTCTTATTGCATCAGTTTCTGGGGCCACTCAGCACAGGACCATAGGGATTCACACTGATGTGCTCCCTGCAGTTCTAGAGAGCCAGGGTCTTTCCTTGCTGCAAGTCCTGCTGTAGACAATTAAAATGAGAGTCACTCCGATCTACCACAACTTGACAGCATGTCCATTCCACCAGGAATGCTGCTTTGCACATCTTCAGACTCCTAGTGTTGATCAGTGTGTTACCTGCTTGACAGTACTTTAAGGCCTGGAGAGTGGAAAGCCAGCAACTTTTTAATTATAACTCCTGTTAAAGGACTGTTTCCAGAAGAGTAGCCATTACTTTAAATAGATTGAAAGCTGTTCCCTGAGGAGCTACCACTAGAGACAGCAGAAGACTCTACACATCACTGCCACTCTTTCACCAGCCAGCAGTCAGCTAGCACTGGCAGCAAAGTAGTCTGACAGCAGCTCAGACAGCAGCAACAGCCTCACCTAATGGTGATGGCTGCTCCTTCTGGAACAGAACACACAGTGCATGTGCACAGAGTCTTTTTAGATCACTGCTATGGCCTCTGATTAAATCTTTACTTATTCCAACTGACACACTTGAGGTCATGAACTGCAGCTGCTGACGATGGCATTGCTCCATCACTTCAGGCTGGCACTGCTGTGTGTGAGGTTATGTGACCTCCTGCCTGTGTCACCTCCTCTGGGGCCTTGCAGATTTAAGCAGGTTGCTCTGCAGTTGCATGAGAACGCTTGCATTACATGAAGACTGGGGGCAGAAAGAACAGCTAAGAGTCTCTTTTGATAACAATACCAGTTTAGGAACTGCTGGAGGCTGCTTGTGCAAACTGTAGAGGCAGTAACTTGTGCAGTTACTGCAGATGAACTCAGCAGCAAAAGCAGTCCGACTCTGGAGACAGGCCCCACCCAACCTTGCCCTGCCAAACAGTTACTGCTGTTCGACCATGCAGTGTTTAGTGCTGTAGGCCTCACTGCTTGCCTGTGCCACCCAGCAAAGTTTTGTGGAACCAAACTAGCCAGACTGGAGTTCTCATCTTTTGTAAAGGAAACAGAAATGAAATGGAGATCGCAAGGCTCCATACTTGCAGTAGCCACTTCCTTTCATCTCTGTGTGTCTGCGGTGGTTCTGTAAACCAGGGCAAGGAATAGCAACCTGTCTCTAAAAAGCTTCAGACCCCAACAGAATGAGTGTCTACGCTCAGACCTGTTCCACACTCATCCTTCTGAAGCACAAGGAAACCCACATTCTGCAACATTCAAAGGCAGCCACAATTGTATTTAAGTAAATTTTAACGCTAGAAAAAGCTACCAGGCTGTTACCTCTAGAAGATATTAGAAATAGCTCTTAGCCCTCTGTCTCCTTCATTCTTTTAGGGAACAAACAATTATTCTAATGACAAACTCTGTCCTTAGTAGAGGCCTACAGCAATGTCATTTGCAAACAGAAACTGGTCTGGCACTGAAGTATTCCCAAGCACAAGTGTCAGGATGGGAGTTAGCAAATGAAAGGGTTCCCGCTAGTTTACTTCCTGTTTGGCACATCCTATAATTGGCAGCTTTGCATACTGCTCCCAAAATGTTGCCCATGGCCAAGGTAGCTTTGTGCTTTTAAGAGAGTTTTGAAAGTGGATGTGGCTGCAACATGATGAACCTTCACAGGCAAGGCTTTTGTTTGTTTCCCAGAGAAAGAACTGAGTGCGCTTCGCAAGGAAAATCGCAAGAATGCTGCCCTTGCGGTGGCCATGGCGTTGCTGATTGCTCTTATTTACGCCTGCTGGACGATGTGATTGCAGTCAAGAATTCTCCCTGCTGACCAAATGACTCCCCTGCAAGGAGTGCTTCCTCCTCTCACCACTGTGCCTCCAAGAGTGAGGATCAGCATTTCAAAATGTTGTTCTTGTTTACTGTCTCCAAGCCTCATTGTAGGGAAGATTTTTCTCTGCAAATTGAGGGGGACAGGAGACAAACCAGAAATCACAGCACACTTGCACTTGAAAATCAGGTCAAACAGAGCTCAAGGTGGTGCCATCTTACCCAAAACACAGTCAAGATCACCCAGCCTGATGCAGGAAGACAGTTTGTTCTCCTTTTGAAGAGGACCCCTGTGGTTGCAGACATGCCACTTTCTTGGCTCCTGTGACTCAGCCATAAGATGAAGGGACACCAACCTCAACTGAAGAGTAATCTTGAGGAATTGCGACCTTAAGACTTCATGTGTTTGCAGAGCTGCACTAAAGATGTTTCCTCCTCCACCCTGACTTACAGGACCAAAGGAATCCTACCTCCACAAAACCATAGGTACGTAGGTATCTCTTTTTCTGCAAGCAAGTAGCATACAACTTCAGATCTGGGTGCTTGGGCTTTGAGAAGATCTGCCTGCCTCTCCAATGCATCAGAGCTTGGTAGCCATTTTGTGCCTTTGAGAATCAGCACTTGCAGAAGAGAATTTACTAGTAACTGCGAGAAATGGAAGTGCTTCTGTAGGGTTTTAAATAAAATAATCCAACCTTGTAATTTCCTGTTCTGTGATTTTTTTTTTAATTTCTCGTTTTGTCCTGTTTCTCAGGCAGTGCTTTATTCCCATCCTACCATCTCCCTGCTGGCACACATTACACATAGTAAGCCTAGACTGGGTTAGGCACTTAGCATCCCTGGTTAGTGAGGTTTCAACAGAGGTTACTGGCCTGTTGCAGCCTGGAATCTACTTCCTTTGAGAGGAAAAGCAGCCTAGCATGCTGCAGAGGAGCACTGGAGACTGTCCCCTGTAGTCCCCTCATTCTTATGCAGGGACATACAGTAAGTAGCCCTCAGCATGCTCTAACTTGGCAGAAAGCCTTTAGAAGGGACTGCCTTGAAAATTTAACTCTGCAAGGCATATCTCTGTCGCCACACTGACACACACTGCTGGCCAGAATTTTGTGGGGAAGCAAAGTAAACAAGCACTCCTGTGAACTAAAGGGGCTGTATTGGTAATAGAGACAATGAAAGCAGAGAAATCAACACAAAATGATACAAAGCCTAATAATACATTGTGCAATTAACATACATAACATTCCCTTCAGCAAGACCTTACTCACCCACCCCTTCCCAACATAATCCCTCAGCAGGGAAGCAAGTAGCATGGTGGCTCAAGCTTGCCTTCTTGAAGGGAGATTTGGAATCAAGGTTCAGTGCATCAAAAATAAAATTAAAAGCAAATTTAAATGAGGAGCTGGAGACAACTGAGTAAACAAAGTATCTGTTCATAAAAGCTAGCCTGCAGGCTGACCAGGCATTCTTGTACCCTCAGAGGCCTATACCCACCCTAGTGTCCCTCTTGGTCACCCCTCTGTCTGCCAGCCCACAGAAGTCAAAGCCCTGAGTGGAGGGTACAAGTCAGGGAAGGAGCCTGGCAGAGGGAGCAGCATGCTCTGCTGGCACTGGAACAGCCTCAAGGCAGTCTGCACAAGTGCCAGAACTCAATTACTGGTTGGTTTAAAAAGCCAACTGTACACAGGCCCGGACACCACACAGTTGGAAGTGCTTCACTGCCCAGTGGGAGAGATTCCTCCTTGTTCCTTGTGGAAGTGCTTGTGCCAAGACAAAAGGTACCAGTGAAACACTTTTGTTCTTCTGGAGGAAGGGCCACCACTTGCTTGATATGTGTTTTAGTGATGTTTGAGAGCAGAGGGGGGGTCTCCAGGTCAGCAAGAGGAAGCATTAACAGCCTGCAGTCCTTCAACTGCTTTGATAGACCTGTAGCTAAGTGAAAATTTCTGTTTTGCTACACAAGCTTGTTCAAATCATATGTATGCTTGTGGAGAAAAAAAACTATCTAATAACTGCTATAGATTCTAGAACTATAGCTTTCCTTAAGGCACACTTCAGACCTAAATCAGTTTTCTCCCTACTGCCAATCTGTATTTAAAAACAAGAACAAACAAAACAAAATAAAAAGAAACAAAACAAAACACCAAACAAAAAGGGCAATTTTGCTGCTTGGTCAAAAGCATTCAATTATGTGTTATCTTCTGATTTACGTGGAAGACCTGGCAAAGTGCCATGGAAGCCAGAAGTGAAGGTAAAACATGCAACAGAAGCCAACTTTGAGCCTGGCGCAGAAGTGCATGGAGAAGTCTGGACACAAATACCATGCTGAGAGTTTCACAGCTCTATGCCTTCACCCCAGATGCAGTTCCACAGCCAAATGAGATACAAAGGGTTTCGAAGCCACTTTGACATTTAAAAAGGAAAGTCTGGTTACCTTGCCAGGGGGTACAGTCAGGGGACAGGATTTCTTCCAATTAACCAACATGGTCAAAGTCAAGATCCCTTTTCACTGAAGCCCTGGGTCTTTTTAATTAAGTCAGGCATCCCCATAATTTCTTCCAAAGACTCCAGCATCCCAGCCTTCCAGTGTCTTCCCTCCCACATCAGCTTTTCTCCCTGAAGATTTGGGTAATGGTGTTGAGTACCCAGAACCAAAGCACCTTGGTCTCAGAAGTACCATGAGGCACGTACGCCAACCATGGTACATGTTCACAAATTAACCCTAGGCTGCTGATTTGGGATCAGTCACTAACCTAGAGAGGGGAAATCCTTGTCACAGCAGGTTCTAGAGGTCGGAGAAAGCCCTGGCACTGAGCACTTCAGATCTGTGCCAGGAGCTCTACTCATCATCTGCACTGGCATTTGTCCAACAGGATACCATCATGTAAGAATTGCCAGGTCAACTGAGTGCCTTGATAAACAGAAGTGTTGGAGACAACAAGGATACATAACTTGAGTCCCACAGCTAGCATTCCCCAAGGAGTTAACACCCTCCAGTGGGTAGCGTAGGCCTTTGACAAGGCCAAGGAGACATAGCTGCCAGGAACAATGCAGGGCTGCTTCAACGTGCAGTTGCCAAGCTCTGCCATCAAAACATCTCTGCTCCTTCCCATACTGCCAGAGAAGCACAAGCTTGGAAAGTTCTGGCACACACAGAGCTCCACAAACCTTGCTGAATGTTTGAGCAGGAGCAAAGAAAGCTGCCAGCCTCTTGGCCTCATGCATGCAGTAGGGCAGGACAAAAGGGCATTAGGCCTTGGCTCCAGGAGTCACCGTGGGTACTCCAGCAGCAGGTGCTACCTGGGCTGTACTCTATATACACTGCCAAGGTAGGGCCTCATCCTGTGCCTTCTGCATACCACACCCTTGTTCGATCACCTCCAGGAAATCAGCTCTGGAGAAGACCAGGATAGAAGTTGTGGAGCCTCCCCAGTCTCATCAGTCCCTGAAGAATCCAAGCTGGGCTCAGACTCCCCCTGCACCCTCAAGGGAGCAGGGTTAGGGGTAGTGCGCTTGGATGAAAGACAGGACAGTCTCTTTTGACAGCTTCTCTGGATCTTGTCTTTTCTGAGAGTCATGCACTTTGACACCTTCCCCCCACTCCCAGAAGAGGCGGCTGTAATGGCAGATGCTGTGGGCAGAGAGGAGAGAAAGATTAGTTTGGCAGGGGAGGGAAAGGAAAACACTTTCGTCCTATCCAGAAACAGCTGCCCTTACAATGGGACCCACAGATAAATACTCTTAACAAGTGCCTTAGAAAAGACTGGTGCATTCATTCACCTTACAAGCTCTACAGCTCCCAAAGTACAGCAACTGCCAAGCCTGAAAGATTTCCACAAAAACAAACTTCTTAATTTTAGCTTCACTTGAATTCAGTTCAGTATTTGCTGGAAGGAGTCAGGACATTAGGGAAAAAACCTATCTCCCCCAATGTTTTTCAGAGAATGAAACTGTCATTGCAGGCAATGGAAAGGCCTTAATGAAGAATTTAGAAAGCCTGCCAGGAGCAGCAAGCTAATCACTCACCACAAACCTACTATAATCAGTAATAGCTGTCCTATGGAGCTTTGCAAACAAACAGCACTTCCCACTTTAGCGAAAGCAGCTAGGATCATCCCCTCTTCCCCCTCGTGTGAAATAACAGAGTTCAGCTTGGCTGCTGACAGTTCTAGTCCTACAGCCATCTCCCACTCCACCCATCAAGCACAGCACTCCCTCACTGCATCAACATAGTCCCAGCCATAATGAAATCAGAGCTGCTAATTACTGCCAACACAGCAGCCTTTAGATTTGTACAATTACTGACGCTTAATATTCATAGCTTATTTAGTGCTTCTGTTCTAACAAAGCAGTACTAGCACAGCGACAAGAGCACATGTCAATGGCTAATTATAGACATTAGTACTCACTAACCACAACACAAACACAACACATCCCTTCTAGAGTCCCACACAAGCACTCCCTCCACCTCTTCAGCCATTCCTGTAGGTTCCTGCTGGTCTATTTCCAGTACAAAGGCAGAACTAAACCCATCCTGACACATAGAGGGAAAAGGCATCATGTGCCTCTGCTTTTTAAGCCTGTTTTCCATTCACCCCACTAAGGAAAGCTTCAGGATTCTTGAGACCACTGCTGTAAGGTAGGTAAGGAGATTCATAGGGAGTAAATCAGGAGTCCTATTTCACACCAAACTCTTGCTCAGAGGCACAGTCTTGGGTAACTGTGGTAGAGAGCATCTCTTGAGACTACCTGAGGGCAGGGTGTACAGAACATCTCCACTCATGTGGAGTGTCTGAGGTGTCACAGACAGATTTGCTGTATTTAAGTAATGGCCTTAGCCTAGTAGTCAGATGGGGTTCAAGAGCCAGTGTTAATGTCCCATGGCAAGCTACTCCATCCTTTCCCAAGGAGTTACTGCTTTTCTCTCCCTCTCTCTCTCTCGCCCCACCTTAAGAAAGCTCCCAGTTTCCCACAGCTTATTCCAGAGCCTGGGCTAAATGAACTGGGATTTGCTTTTAAATTATCAACTTCCAACCAAGCACGTTAAAATACAGAGATACAGCAAACTACAGTTGCTGGGCTCAATTTCTACTTCCCTGTGTGCAGGAGGCTCAGTAACCTGTACTCTGCTGCAGACAGGAAAACAAAGTTGTGAGACGTTTGTTATTTGTAGCCATTAATCACAAAATCCAGGATTCCAGATCGGCAGTTTCCTGAAAGTCTGAGAAGATGTCAGCTCCTGCAGCACACCCTGCTGGTGACCAAGCTGCACTTGCACTGCAAGAACACAGCACTCCTGAATTCCCTTCCAAATACCCAGGCACACACACACACACACACAGACACTCAGCTTTCCTTCCACAGCCTCAGCTCTGGCTCATACTCACTGAAAGGGTGCAATGGCTTCAGAAGGGAGGCTGTATGTCGCTACATTGGTCATTTTGTTGAAAAAGAATTTCCTCTTGAAGTTTTTGCTATATGCCATTGTCCAGGGATCTAGTAAAAGTCACAGGGATCAGACAGAAAATGAAAGGGAGGAACAAAGCACAGTATAAATACACATACAGTACCAGCAAGAAGGAAGAATCTATAAGAATAATTGTGATCTTTCTGCTACTCCTTTTTCCTTTCCTCCCCCCAGGGTGTCCTGCTTCCCAAGCTGTTCTCTATTCACTGAGAAAAATCTCTTCTCCCTGCATTTAAAAGTTGACGTTCCAAATTGGATATTTCCATGTACCATGACTCTAGAAAACATCTTGATGAAAACTTCTCTCACTAAAAAAAATAATCAGTCATGTAAATAAATGGAATTACCCACACAATAGCTAATCAACCCACAACAGAAAAACCTATCATATAAATATACTCTAACCCTTATCCAAATCCAATCTACCCTCATTACATGCAAACAGTAATCTCTAGCCATTGGAATAGTCCCATTAATTTTCTACCAAGTTACAACAAGAACAAGCCTGGTGAATACTTTTTAGTTGGAGAAGGAAAGAAAAGCTGAGTAAGAGTGAGGACTGTCTCTTCCTACCATTCATAGTCCGTACGATGTAGAGTCCTGTGGGCACAAAGTGCCGGTCATCTCGGCCAGTGTAGGACAGCCGGGGCATTCCCCCTGAACTCTTGATGACTTTCATCTCTAACCTAAATGTTGAGAGAAGGCAGTGACAGAGGTTGCCTGTTTCTTCCTTTACCACTCTCTTGCACAAAATGCACCACTTGCACACCCTCTCTAGAGAGTCACAGTGTGAACTGACAGCACTGCACAGGACAGGTAAAAAACATCACACCCTGGAGAATTCAGTCTCTTGCCTTCCCACACAGGGCTAGAGAAATCAGCCAGACCTGCCTAGGTCAGGTTGCAAATTGAGTGTTGGGATGAAGAATTTGTGATGAACTACCATAATTAATCCAAATACGGTTCCCAATTCAGGTATGAACTCTTGATCTTTCAAGTCAGTGAGAATCCACTGATACTGCTGCACACAAACTCCAGCACTGTTGCTACTCCAGCTGTTTTAAAGTGCCCTGGTCACATCTACAGCATTAGAATGCAGCAGAATGATGCTCTGAGGCAGCAGCATCTCAGGAACAGCAGCTACCAGCTGAATGAGCTCTAACAGCTCTTGGTCCAGGACTCCTCTAGCGCAGATGAGCACGTCCCTTCAATTCCTGTGCACCACTGGCTGATAACCTTAGTTTCATTTGCACCAGTTGCTTACCTCACAAAAATCTTCTCCATTTCCTCCAATCTGTACACTTCCTTCACCCTGAGAGGAAAAGACAAAAGCATGATTTAAAAAAAAAAAAAATAACATTTTTTTTCCCTGTTCCAGCTACAGGGAGCAGACAAATAGTTGATTTTGTATAGCATGAGGTAGTCAGGCACGACTGAGGTTCACCCTTCTCCTCAATCTTACGCTTCAGTGGCTAATTTTTCCTGGCTTGAGAAAACCTGACACCTGCATGCTCATGGTTGGGTTGCTATAAGCAGCAAATGAGCATCCTTGCTGCTAAGGAAGCTGTGTGTTTGTACTTCAGGTTGAGTATAAGGAAGAGTTAGAACAGTGAAAGTCAGGTGCTTTTATTTTCCCATCAGATAAATTCACCAAGATCAGTCTCAGGCAGCTTCTGGCCTCACAGTATTAAACAACCTGATCTTCACTGTTATTATCCTCAAGGATGCCACGGACTCCTTAATTACCATGAGGTAAAAACAGTTTTGGTTTGTCTTTTTTTTTTTTTTAAATCAGTAAAGATGATTTTGAGTCATCATTCCATCATTACAAACTGGTTTTGTCATTCTGAGATACAGAAAAACAATCATTAAGTTTCAAAAGCACTGCCTCTAATCTGACACCCCAACCACCCGTTTCCCATATACTGCTACAAGCATCAGGCTTTGAAGAGCACAGCTGGAACACCTTTAACACCTTTCACAAGAACAGCAAAGGACCCCTCTACAATCCATTTCCACAGCTCTCCTTCTCACTTCACTTTCAGCCCTCCCCAACACTTTAAGCTCCTCCAAATACTACAAATGTCTGTCTTGAGTCTGAGACCCCACTCATTATCTTTCATTAAGCTACCAAAAAGAACATTCTCTTTCCCTGCCTCCAGATTCTTTCCTAATATTGCTGCACTTCTAGCTTCTGAAAGAGAAGCTGTTTTGTCTATAATACCTATCTGATGCCCAGCACAGCAATGCTCTTATGCTCTACCACAGCAGAATCAATGAAATGGAAGGTCAGGAGACAATCAAAGCTGAAGCCCATTGTCAGGAACTTTCTTGGGGTTGTAACTAAAGCCTTGTCCTGCTAAATGCTGGTCAGTACTTCATCTACTAGCAGAGTCAGCATAGAATTCTTTGCAACAACTAAGCTAACTGGGTGCTAGACCTACTATTGCACATATCTGAAATCAGCACCAGCCAATCCACCTACAAGGAAAATATGACTGTTCGACATTTGAAATGAGGGCACAACTTCTCCTCTAACAATATTTACCTTAGATATTTAAAGAGCTTTTAGCCTCTTTCCAAAGAATATAAACAGAACTATGAATGTCAGTTTGAAATTTAACTCCCCTTCAGCTCCTTATCTTCATCCTCCAACACACTGACACCAAAGCATGCCAGGCTGAGGTAAGGAGTCGTCACTCACCGGATGGGGTTCATATCTGGTCGACTTGGTTTAGAAACAGCTTTAACAAACTTCTCTGCCAGCCGAATCCTGAATGAAAATGGAAGGAGAACCCAGCAATTTAATGAGATCTTTGGCACAGTGGATAGGTAACAGTTTCAGCAGAATAACTGAGTAGACACATGCAGATTGCCTCCACTGCCAGCCAAATGGGTCTGAGCAAGACTTTTTTCACCCCACACTCCCAGTTCAGTGCCCAGTGATACTGGCTATTATCCATTAGGAATGAGTCACCATAGTTTACTCCACAGGCCCACACACTGTTGAATGCATTGATACATCAACAGGATAGTAGGACTAGCAGAGACATCATGTCCCCAAGGAAACAGAGAGGCTTGTTCCTTCTCCCTCAGCCAGTTATCAGCTATGCTCATTCATATTCCCAGAATGCTCAGTTTACCCCAGCTGTGGCTGGCTCAACCCAGACTAAGGAAGGAGCTAGACCTGCCCTCATACACAGAGAAGATACAGCTGGAAAAGGCTATAAGCACTTCAGAGCAGCTTCATTCACAGTTCATCTTTATAGCACTGTTTCAGCTGAATGCACTTGTTTCCCTGTGCTCAGCATTTTGCTTTTTGAGTGAACACTGTTTCCCAGTCACTCCTACTCAAGTACAAAAAAAAAGCTTCTCCAGATCCCACATACCTCTGGTTGAAATGCTGTGTTCGAACATCATTGCCATTCAGCACCAAGACATCAAGGATGTGGATGGCACTGATTTTTCGCTGGGCTTTCCCCTAAGGAGGGCAATACAGAGATTTACTACTCAGACTGGTGATATTTCAGCTTTGATATATAGCTCAGTTTTTGATAGGAAATCACTCTTTTCTATCAACAAAGCACCCTTCCCAGATATTAGAAGCACACAAATTCCCTGCTGCCCATTATACAGTAACATGCCATCCTCCAAGAACTGGTATATCTCAAATACCCAGTTCAGTCTAAGGGGAGGGAGAGAGGGCGGTACCACAGCTGCCATCACCGGCTCTCTGTGCTTATCAGGTACCCACAAAGCGCAGTGCACTATAGCATCCTCATCTGAGGTACCAGAGGACAGGCAAAGTCCCAGGCAGCTGAGAGTTTTCGCCTTACACTGTGAACATACCACAAGAATCTTTTCCTCACAGCCTGCAATCACTACTGAGCAGTTCTGTACCCAGAGCCACAGACACACGAAGTCATGTTGTCAATGCCATATGCTGCTCTACATGGAACAGCAATGTCAGGTCCAAAGTGTTTGCAAAACAATGTTAAAAGTTCGTATCTCTAGCACTGGACAGAAAGAAGAAGCTTCATCCAATATAGTTACTCTAAAGATCATATACCAAAAAAAACTTTGGACCCGGCACAGATGGAACAATTACTCCGCAGCATCTTACAGAGAATAGGCAAAACTCCTCTTTGTATTTGCAGCCACTTGGTAAGCAAGAGAATAGGTTCCTACCTCTCCTTTCAGCTCATGAACAATCTCCACAGACAGAAGAGTATCTCGTGGCAGCTCAGTTTTCAAATCCAGCTTTGTCCAGCGATCTGACTGGCGACCACCCCAGGTGTAGATCTGTGATTTCTGTGTGTAGAAGGCAGAGTCAAACTCAGCCAAAGCTTCGTGAGGGCAGGGGTGGAGGAGAGACCTCTGGCTAACTGCAGAGCAGCCCTCAGAGAATCTTTTTGTCCTAAGCTGTCACAGGCAGTTTCTTTCTCAGAAGTTTTAAGGAAGAACTTTAATCTCTACAGCAAAGGAACAAAAACACTGATTCTAATCTGCCAGTGACTTTTCATACCTGCATAAAGAACCAGAAATAGAACACCTTTAAAAGAACAGCGAAGATAATTAGAGACACTAGCAGGAGTGCAGGTCTCTGTGTAGGCTGAGATTACAAAAACAGAGTTAATAAGTGTGAAAAGTAGTGACGTCAGGAGAAAGAAATATAACTGGCAGTCTCAGATGCTGCTGATGGGGATTCTTTTAAGCATCTGAGCACAGGAAAGGTTGGGCTGAAACTGCAAGGCAGAATAATACCATTTAAATGAACCAGCAAAACTTCCAGACTGTCCTTAGCACTTACCCCTAAGCCCAAGAGGAACTTCTGCTCGCTTCCAGATACCATACACCGGTAATCTAACACTTGGCGAATTTTCTCCAGTGTGCTGGAATTCAGAGGAGTGGGTTTGTAACTGAAGGTATCAATGTCTGTGCCCTAAAGAACGAAGTATGGAAAAGGTAAATTAGATATATTACATCAACAGGTAGGTAAACACAACTTCTACATGAAATGATAATCCAGAACCACCTTCTTCATCTCTTAATTCCAATGGGAAAGAAGTTAGATTAGTATGAAAGGACTCGAAACTAGCTTACGGGCAAGGTCTCACCTGGATCAGCTCAAAGAACTTGGATTTGGGATCTGAAGATGAAGGAGCAACACGAGCCTTATCAGGAATCTGAAAGCAAATCCAAACAACTGATGGTAAGCATTATTCTTTGGCACATTCATAGGAACATTTCTTGTTTCAATACATGACAGAACATCCAGCCCCCAAAACTCCTGCTCTTGAGATTCCAGTTGAAGAGACATCATATGGCATCTAAAAGGTCTCATGTTTGCAAATTTAATGTAGGCATACCACATCTCCCAGAAACCAACAGGCAACTTCAGAAAGATATAGCCTAAACCTTTGATTTCATGCATGTTTTGATGAAATACACTTTCACTGAAGACATACAATTAGCCTGTGAAACTGGCTCCAGCACAGTCAACAGCTCGGGAAACAGAAACTGCAGACTCATAAAACAAGACCTTTTGGAGAGCACTGCTGCTTGAGATCCAGGTGCTGGATTCGCTCCACGTACAATGAAATATTCTGAACTGCAGCAAAGGAGCCTGCCTGGTTAAGCCATACACAATAAATCAGGGACATCCTGTTTCATACAACAGCTTGGAATGGCCTCCGACTTTCCTACAAGACAATATATTAAACCTCTGGCTAAAAGTCCTGTCTGTACTGCAGCTCCACTCCTGTTTCACCACAGCAAGGACACTTGCACAAGTGCCCTGCTTGACAGCTCACTTACCCCCCATAGCTGGAGACACTCCTTCCGTATTTCAGCCTGCCGTGGCTCAATCAGTGTCCTAAAGAAAGACAGCAGACTGTTGAGACGGTGAAACCTCCTTGATCTTGCAGCCTTACATATCCCAGCCCTATAGCACTTGGATCTTTCAGCCTCTGGCTTGGGAATGACAAACATGCGCCGCTCCACAACAGATTATCCAAAAGAGGAATGACGCCTTCCTTCCCCACCCTCCACCCACTTCCAGTCCCTGTGCTTAGCTTTATTTCATGGCCTGCACTGCTGATTAGCAGCTACCACTCAGTTCCATGAAAGTACCACTGGGTATAAATATTTTCAAGAAGTTATGTATTAGTATGAACTTATGTGAATTTCTAAGAGCTGGGTATACAGCCTACTTAAGAATAGCAGTGAAAACCTGCTAAAGGCCACACAAAAAACAGCGTCAATGTTAGGATTAACTCTTGGATAACTCCTAATTACCAAACTCACTCAACTTTCTACCATATATTATCTCTCAATAACACCGGAACAGAAAAGTCATGGCAGGAAAACACTGCAATGGCTTTAGTTTTATGCAAGAAATTAACTTCATAAACTTTAAGTAATTCTAGGTATGTAAGTTAAATGCTTTCAATTGCCCCTGGAAAATGAACAGCTATGAACCACACCCAACTTAGATGGCTACTGCTGAATTGAACATATCAGCTGGGAGTTACTTTTCTGCTTTTACACTCCTGCTAAGAAGCAAGCTCACTTATGGTAACTGGAAATCATGCAATGCATAGAAGAAGCCTTCTCAACAAGGGTGATAACAGACCATCAATTTTCAGGACTCCTCCAGCCACCCACACGTTTCTGCAAATAACTCAGGCAGAGACACAAACTGAGCTACCTAAAAGCACTATTCACTTTCCTGGCTCCAAAGACCAAGACAAGTACCAGCTCAAATCAAGAGCATATTAAAGAAGGGCCAAGCAATTAATTTATAGTGGGTTAATTCCATCCTCGCAAAAAGCCAGAGGAATATACTCACGTGTCTTGAACAAAAGCACGAATTTTGGCTAGTGCCTTTATCTGAACTTTGCAGTGGCTAAAAGAGAAGAAAAGTTTCAGTCAGAGAGCAAGTTATCACCACCAAGATTGTTCTACTGTTCAAAACAAGAAAGAGTGCTGAGATCCCTCAGAGCAGTGAGGGATCTTTACCAACGTGATTCAAACTGACAGGAAGATCACTGGAACGAATTAGGCACTACCCTCCTTTCTTTTCTACAGAGTACTCAGAGGCCAAACAGTCACTAACATTAATAAAGCATTTCTGCCTGCACAGAGTCCCTCTGCTCTGCTCAGCCCCTCAGGGAGCAAAAGCAGAGCAGTGAGGCAGCATCAACAAGTATCTCCATGAGCACAAGAAGTTACAGCTGAAAGCCATGCCGGTTAAACTGCCTAGAGCCAGCAGCTCTCATCACCCACAGGCACTCACTTTTCATTGGACTGGACGATGTAATTGTAGAAATCCTGGTTGTCTTTGATCACATTCAGTGGGACAATAAGATTCACATCCACGTCAGAGTTGCGCAGCTGGTTGAGCCTGATGTTCACTGTGAAGAGGTAGTCCCGCACGTCATCAATCCCTGACTTCAATCCTTTGCAAATCACATACCTGCAGAGCAAGGCAGCGACATCATGTGGGTTCAGTTCTTCCACAGAGTCAACTTTTCTGCCACACTCCCGTTATAAGGACAGTTTCCCAAATTCCAGGAATTCCTTCCTCCTGGATATCCCCAGGAAGGTGCAATCTCACCTATCACAAAATCATGATGTTTTCTATGCACTGGAAAGACTGGGAAATGCAACCTTATGCACAACACCCACAGATCTCCCTAAAGTAGTAAATCAATTCTGCTAAACTTGACAGGTACAAAGAAAAATACATGTATCATAGAATGGTTTGCGTTGGAAGGGACCTTAAAGATCACCTAGTTCCAATCCCACTGCCATGGGCAGGGACACCTTTCACTAGATCAGGCTGCTTAAAGGCCCATCCAACCTGGCCTTGAACGCCTCCAGGGATGGGGAATCAACAACTCTGGGCAACCTGTTCAATGCCTCACCACCGTCATAGCAAAGAGCTTCCTTCTAGCATCTAACTTAAACCTACTCTCTTTTACTTCGAATCCATTACGCTTTGTCATATCACTACATGTCCTTGTAAAACATCCCTCTCCACCTTTCTTCTAGGCTCCCTTGAGGTACTGAGAGGCCCCAGTTAGGTCCCTAAGTTGTCTCTTTTCCAGGCTGAACAATCCCAATTCTCTCAGCCTTTCCTTGTAGGAGAGGTGGTACTCCATCCCTCTAATCATCTTGGTGGCCCTCCTCTGGACTCGCTCCAGCATCCAAGGTTAATGTCCCTCCTGTGCTGAGGACCCCAGAGTTGGATGTACTGCTCCAGGTGGGGTCTCACAAGAGCAGAGTAGAGGGGCAGAATCACCTCCCTGGACCTGTTGGCCATACTGCTTTTGATGCAGCCCAGGATACCACTGGCTTTCTGGGCTGTGAGCACATGCTGTCAGCTCACATCCAGCCTCTCATAAACACTCTGGCTTCACTGAAACCGTAGTTGTTTCACACAAAACAGAATTTATTATATATCCACTACCACAGTTTTCTTTCCATAAGGGCAATTTCACAAATATCATTTTTACCTTGTCATAATTTGCTGAACATCTAAAATGCTTCCTTCTCCAAGGCAGTTGCCAATTGAGGCACATCACAAAGCTTCCACTAGGCTTACCCGAATCCATTTATCACCGTATTTAGAGGATAGTTTCTTTAGTGGTCCCTCATGCTCAAGAATCTTACCTCTCCGAGTTAGCAGGGCGGCTTGTCACAGGTTTAAAGATGCACACTTTCTCAAAGCAACAATACAGCAGATAAACAAGTCCCACACTGAATGGAGTAAACAGGTCAAAGGTTTTGCAGACAAAATGTCCTCCTGGAAAACAAAGAGGAAGTACATCAAAACTAGCAGATTATAAGAAAACAAGAAGATACCAGGCACCTCAAAAACTTTCTCTTCTGCAGAACTACTAATAGTGTTTCTGTAGAACTAAACAGCATCTAGAACACATTTATGAAGTGCACCAGCAAGGCTTAATGAAACATCTTCCCCATGTCTCTGAAGCAAAGAGAGAAAAGCATTCCCTTGACCAGAATCAAATCGATATGTAGGCTGCCTCACAAGCAAACCTTCTATCTACCCCCATACTTCCCTTCCAGGCACAAGTTGTGCCCTGTGGCATGGCAGCATGCTATGCCAGGGCCCTTAATGAAAGAGGGGCTCTGGTATGTGCAACAAGGAACCTCAGGCTGGAGGAAAAGACTAAGATGTTACCTAAACAGAATAACTTGCCATCTAGAGACAAAAAGAGTCTATGTTGCCCCTCACCTTCAAACAAGATTCCCAATTTCCCCAAGCAAAACGCAGGCAGTTTTACAAAACTATTATCTACCCAGGTAGGAAAGACTGAAAGGCTGCCCCTTTTACCATATCACATTTGAGACTACTGCTAAGCAGATCGTTGCCTCAGGTACTTCTACACACAGGGCACAAAATAAAAATGATCATTATGTTACCATTTGTCTCCTGCATCAGTGCCAAAGGCTAACTAAACTCACTGGAAGAGAGGAGCCATCCAAATCAGATACAGCTGTAATGTCTATCATTTAGCAACAATGAGGTACAGCTAAGACAAGGTGAGACATTATCTTGTTCTGATCACACAGATGGCAAATTTAAAGGAGAAGAGCCACAAGTTAGAGAAAAGGATGAACTGGATAAAGACTCTGTTCTAATCAGCTGGAATATTCAGGAAGCACCTAGTCCAGCTAGTGCCATAAAACTCAGATATACTGTCCAGTTATCACACTAGTGACCTGAGCCCAAGACAGCTACATAACCTAACAAATTAAGAGGTTTAAATTAATGCATTTTACCTCATGCTTTTAATTAAAAGCAAAATAAACACAGAAAATCTTATTTTTTCTGACCAGTTCTCTTAGCTTTGTGACAACCATCTCAGGATGTACGTATACACATTCAATTCTGTGCAACTTAGCCTCACTGTAGAGCAGACTTCAAGGCACATTAATAAAAATTGTACAGCAACCTTCCCCAGTGCCACCCACACCTTAGAGAAGGAGGAAAAGATTAATGGATAAAACATACCTGTGCGGACAATGGACAGTGCTGTAAGGAACTGGCAAAGCATGAGCTGTTTGCTTAGGATTTCTTGCAGATTCTCCTGACCCTCCACCGAGAAACCCTGCAAAGCACATAGCATGCAATTAGTGTCTCCACAAATCTGCTGGTCAAGCAAAGGATTCTGCAGAGATAAATCATGGGATCATGAGGTAAAAGAACTGCTACCAGGAATTTTAATGGCAAACCTTGAAGTATTTCACATCGTAGATACAGATACATGTCAAATACCCTACTATATGCAGACTGAGGTATCAGTTTTGGTCCTTAGTGCAGGAAGAAAAAGAAATTGACCAACCCCATCAGCCATTAAGAAATGCACTCCCTTGTGATCAGTGTTGTCCAAAACAAAATTCTGGAAAGCAGTAATGTTCTCTGATCGAGTGATGTCTCCATCTCCATCAATCCCTCCCTCTCCTAAGGGGAAAAAGGAGATGATCACTAACATGTTTGCAAGCACAAACTGAAGATCAGTATGCGCAGATGATCTACTGTACTCAGGCAACATTTAGTCAGAAATCACAAAACCCTGATAGGCCAATAAGCATTAACACATTCCCTTGTTTTCAACCAAAGATGCTTTTTAAGTTACGAAAATTATTCAGATTGTGTGGTCAGGCCAAAATGAAGCCATATAATAACCATGTTCAAATGATGAGTAGTACATTAGCCTCAAGGCAACATAATATTCTCATCCAAGTAGGAAAGACACATAGCTGAACCTACTAAATATGTAAGATTCAACGTCACTACACTGCTCACCTATTAAAAACATGTTATTACAGATATAAAATTATTTACCTTGTGCATTTGCAACCTTCTAATAAAAAGTCCAATCGTTCCAAACAAACACAATACTCATTTCCAAACCCAATATAATCTGGACTTTAAAAAAGCAACCACAAAAAAACCCCTGTGAACAAGTTTATAAAGCAAGTAGGGAAAGGGAAATAAGTGCAAAAATATGACTTGCTATGCAAGTTCACCAATTTCAACCCCTTTCCCTGATGGTCGCCCCCTTCTACTTTGCAAACTTGTTCCCTAGACTTCTCCTAGATCCCCATGCTGGTATCAATACCAGCCCTGCTACTAATGCAGAGTATAAGGAAAAACATCAGATTTTTGCAGTATAAGCAAAAATATCAGATAACACTCATGCACACGCTACATACCATAATAAGGTTCAAAGAGCTCACTGGAAGCAGAATAAAAATCCTCCAGTTTAAAATCATTAGGTCCTTTCAAGGTCATGCCAAATCCTTTTGCATGCCACTTCCGCCTCCATAAGACATATTCAGAGAAGCCTCCAGGACCAGCACACACATCAGCAAAGTAGAGCAGCTCTGCATCATACTCCTTTATCAAAGGCACCTGCAAGAGGAAATTGAGGAAATTCTACCAACTCATAACAGATACACCATAAACTGCACTACTCAGAGAAGTCTTTCAAGCACCTGTTTTGCCAGCTAGTATCCTACAGATTCTCCTTTGTTCCCACCTTCTAAATTCTCTGAGAAAGCACTGCTGTTTGAAAGCCAGAGGCACTCACCCCATTGTAGTCCTTAGGGTTTGTAAACATGTAGTCAAAGACATGGTCCATATTTGCCATCTTCATTGCAGCCCTGCGAACATATAAATAGGGCCCTTGTAAGTTTCATCCTTGGCTCCCACAGCTGAAAGTGGACATAAATGGCAAAGGGACTACACTACCAACTGTTCTACAAACCTGTTCAGAAAGAAAGCTCCACGGATCATCTCATAGGGGTTAGACCTTGTTCGAGCTCGACGCATTTCTTCTCCATCCAGCTCATCAAATACGCTCTGCACGAACAGAAACAAAGTTCAGCTTGATGCCTTAAGCCTCTAATGTTTTTTTTTATTTTTCTAATATTGGTAAGCCTTATAAGTTTTATAAGTAGATTTTAAAAGCAGCAACCCTTCATCCCTTGTCCCTTTCCCTCTAGCACCCTTAGTTTACACATTCCTTAACCCTCTTACCCCATTCTATGCTCCCTATATCACTCCTACCCCCGAATACAGCAGAAATGTTTAGTCTTTTGTCAAGGCAAGGCCTAGATTGTTTGGAGAATGCTTGTATCTTGGCCTAAACCACAGAACATGGTCAAAAACTGGGTGACTATGTACCCTTTGTGCTCTGATGAAGATGAAGATGGGATGAATAGGGGGTCCCAAAGTACACCCCAGACCCATTTTCAGGGGGTGGACCCGGGGCGGTCCAGAGTAAAGGCCACAGGGTGGACACATCTGGGATTGGATGGATGGTATTATAAAATGTAACATCTCAGGCACGGCTGGCATGCGTCTTGTAAGATCTTTGCCTTGGCATAATAAACCCTTTCTTATCTCACCCCTAATTAACTGCTCCGGGAGATTTTTTCAGCACCTAACTCCCACGGCAACAGCTGGACTTGGTACAGGCTGGAGGGATAGGTAGGCATGAGTATTTCCTATCCTCATATCCTCTCCTTAGACAGCAAACTCCATGCAGGCTTTGGTTCACCAATACAAAACATTTTTCCATCACATAATAATATTTGCTCTTCTTCTAAGCCACCTCAGCTCTTATGCAAATTTAGCAACACTGAAGAATTCTGTATTGACAGCTCCAGAGCCTGATAATGTGGTTAGCCACCTCAAAAGCAGTCCCAACCTAAAGTATTCTTTCACACATATACACACACTCACACTCTACCACAATTCACAAGGGCATGATAAAATCTAGGATGGAAGATGGAACACACAAGAAAGGGAGCTTATTTCCTCAGCTTATTCAAGCCTTCGGCCTTTCAGTTGGACTACTTTCAATCATTCCTGTGCTGGTTTTGGATGGGATAATTTCCTTCACAGTAGCTAGTATGGAGATATATTTTAGATTTGTGATGGAAACAATGTTGATAATAGAGGTGGTTTTGCTATTGTTGAGCAGTACTCAAACAGCATCAAGGCCTTTTCTGCTTCTCCTACTGCCCTATCAACGAGTGGGCTGGGGGTGCACTTTTGTGGGGTTTGGAGGGGACACAGCCAGGACAGGTGACCCCAACTGTCCAAATAGATATTCTATACCATATGGCATCATGCTCAGTATATAAGGCAGGGGGAAGAAGGAGAAAGGAGGGACATTCAGAGTTATGACTTCTGTCTTCCCAAGTAACCATTATATCTAATGGGGCCCTGCTCTCCTGGAGATGACTGAACACCTGCCTGCCCATGGGAAGTAGTAAATTAATTCCTTGTTTTGCTTTCCTTGCATTGAGTAGCTTTTGCTTTACTTGTTAAACTGTCTTTATCTCAACCCAAAAGTTCTTCTCACTTTTACCCTTCTGATTTTCTCCCTGATCCTGCTGGTGAGGGAGCGAGTGAGCAGCTGCATGAGGTTTAGCTGCCAACTGGAGTTAAACCAAGACAGTCTCTTAGAATGCTGAGGTTCAAAATAGATTGCTAAACACACAGTAAAAACCAGGATGCTAAGTCAAACCAGTGACACGAAGGTGAAAGAGGATGTTCTGAGCACTAGCCAATCACCTAAGTTAACTACTCAGTCCTCTTCAATTATTGTTTACCGCACTTACTTCCCCAAAACTTCAGTTCCTCTCTAAAAAGGGGACTTACCTTGCACTGCAGGACACTACGTAAAAGCTCTTCATTACAGAACTCTGTTTCATCTTCAATCACCATCTTCCTCTGGAACAGGACAAGAACACAGGCAGCAATTAGCAAACATGGTATCAGTCAGCTCAGAATGCAGCATGCATCAGCAATGCATGAAGGCTGCCAACCACATACTAGGCTGTATTAGCAAAAGTCTGGCAATCAGGCTGAGGAATTATTCTCCTCTCTCTCACATCTTAAGGCCACATGTGGAATACTGCATTCAGTTCAGCATTCCCTAGTACAACACAGACATACTGAGGCAAAACCAGGAAAAGGACCACCAAAGATGAAAAGGGTGCAGAAGCACCTGCTGTACAAGAAGGGATTGAGAGAACAGTTTGTTCAGAACAGAGAAAGGGAGATCCTACTGCTGTACTTAATGGCAGGAAACAGAAAAGACTAACATAGACTCCTAGAGAGGTACAGCAATAGGACAAGAAACAATGGGCAGGAGCCACATAAAAAATATCAGTTAGCCATACAGAAATTTTCTTTTGTTGACTGAGTTATCACACACTGAAACAGATGCTCAAACAGGTTGTGAAGTTTTCATCCTTGGAGATACTCAGAACTCAACTAAACAAGGCTTTCAGCAACCTGACTTAGTTGGCTCTGCTTTAAGCAGGAAGCTGCACTAGCAGTCTCATGCGATTGCTCCCAACCTAGGCTATTCTGGAACTATTTGACATGGCAATTGTTTCAGGCTGGGTAGCCTTGCTTTGTCTTAGGCTGGTAACTACGAAGATATAAAAAAATTACCTTCCCCACAGTCATCCACTCCTTCAGCTCCTGGGCATCTGGGATCTCCGTGGTACACTCGGGACACCAGTCCACCTTCTCGTAAGCACTAGGCTGCAACCACAAGTCATGGGAAGAGACAAAGATGTTTTCACAAGCAAAATATAAAAACAAATTGCCCCCCAAAAGTTTGCCTCCTAATCTTAGCATAAAGGATTATGCCATGATTTTAGGGCCGACCATAGTTTTCTCCTCCTAGACTAAAATGTGTCTTACTTGTTTATTTTTAAAATTAAAAAAAAAAACCAAAAACAAACACCTCCACCACAAAAAAACCCCCGAGTCTGAAAATCAAGACAAAGCAAGAGTCTAATACTCTTAAAGTACAGTTGAGAGACACTGGAAAAGAGTTGCCAAAAGTTGCCAAAAAAACCCCACACTTGCTTTACACATCCTTTATCCCAGTTCTTGCTGAACGCAGCAACATAAATGGGAAACAGAACAAAACAAAAAGTACATACCTCTGGCTCATCCTGCCAATCAATATTGAGCTCCCCATCAAATCCTTTGAGGGTCAGCCCAAAGCCTCTCCTTCCCTTCTGATTGGAGGCCTCAACAATATCCTTCCTGCCTTGGCCATATTTTCCCAGACCTTCTCCTTCCCGGAAGCCCATCTTGGCCTATAAAGAAACCAAAGGGAACAACACAGTGAAGCAAGTGGATTCGAGTTTATGTACTACGACTGAGGTCAGACAGGAAACGGCACATTACCCTGAAGTGACTTGAAGGCATTGAGCATTTTTAATCTCAGTTGTGGCTTTCAGGAATTAATAGTGAGTTCACTTCACTGAGGCAGGACACAAAAAAACTAGATCTGAAGAATGATGACAACAAATTACAAAAGGTTCAGTAATGCGGCAACAGCCTGCTCAGAGGGAGAAAGTAGTGAGGAGTCCAGAGCCATTCATCACAGTGTTCAGTAAGCATGGAAGGCTCGTAAAAAAAAAGATGCTGGTGCAGGAAAAAATTCATGTTGTGATGATATTCTTTTTTGTGAACATACACTCACACACATTTCAAGCATCAGCTAAAACTTCACTTAATGGTCAGAGGAGGAATGCAAGACACACTGCTCCCGAAACACATCCCCATCTCTCAGGTTAAAAGAACTATGTTCATTAACTGCTAGTGTTTCTGGTTTTTCTCTTAGTAAATTATAGCAAAAAGAGAATAAGAACAAAAAGCAGGGATGCATTCAATTTCACATCTTCCAGTCTGCATCTACAAGACAGTAAGTAAATAGAAGACTTCATGACTGTTACACTTTGAATGCTATCCATATACTCCTTCCTGTGAGAAGCAACAAAAACATTGTTTATTACCAATCTGTATGAGAAACAACACAAGAATATCTGCCATGGTGTTTTCCCATTGCCTTTGCTACCTGTCTCTGAATCAGGCCTTGAATTATGTACACCAAATGTCACAGTCACCAAATCTGTTATACCAGTTTTCTGAGGACAGAATTTTGAAAATCTAGCAGCTAAGGACCATTTTACTTTTACTTACCTAATGCTGCCAAATCATTCAACCACACTTGGTATCACTTGATATCAATCTTTATATTCAAATTTATGAGGCCTTACAAACAAAAGCCTCCCAGATTTAGTAGTAAAAGCTCCTGTATTGTGGCAACTGAAAGCACACTTCTCAATTGGCTCAGGAGAGAACTCTCCAAAGACAGTCTTGCTCTAGAATCAGCAAACTGCTGCCCAGTGCCAAAAATGCACATGGACAGAGTCCGAATGACCAGCAACACAATTTAACTACAGAGAGGCACAACCAGCAACTCTCAGCCTCTGAATCCCACTGAGTTTTGAATTCAGCAAGAAAGTTCTTTTTTCATGTAGAGCTATGATCCTGCTCATCAGCAGCATTCCACCTCCTTGAGAAGCAGTATCTCCCTGTTCCCACCCCTAGTAGCAGCTAGCTCTTCCCAGCTTCTAGCAGAACACTGAACTTGTAACTTGGCAAAGGCAGGTAAAAGCTGATCTACCACCACAGAAAGACTGAGTACAGCACCAGCACAGAACAAAGGGAGACCCACATTTAGGCCCCCAGTGAGTCCCAAACTTTCTGTCATGTTTGAAGTAACATACAACTATACATCTCATCTTCTCCGCTGCCCTTGGAAATCAACATTTTTCTTTCTCTGTTTGTTCATGATTATGAGATACTCGCGACACGATCGTGACTAAGTTTGCATCAGGAAATAAGCATGCATCAGGAGACTCCACTCCTTTACAGCCCACTATTGCCTCAAACTCAAGAACAAGTTGCCAGATTTAGGACTACCATGAGACAGAGATAGGCTACCATTTCTTAGAACTTTCTAAAAGCATTTTCTTCTTCCATGCTAACACTGTGTAATCAAGGGGTGGCTGATCACTGTCAAAGTTTAGTTGTCACAGTTATTACCTTTCACAGTTCCCTGCCTTTCTGAGAAATTTCCAGCCCTACATAAAGCAGAGTGGTATGACTTGAAAGAAAAAGAAATAACTTAATTATTAAGGTAATAATATAAGAGTATACCAGCCAGCCTTCAAGACCAAACAAATTAATGTCAACCACAGAATTTGCTAGGACCTTTCTTACAAGGCATTTTTTAGCTGAAGCATTGCAAAATAACACATGGTAGGACTTCTTTTTGAAGTTCAGCAAACTGCCTGACCCAACGATCCTTCCCTTCTCATTCACCTCCCTGCTCTAAGGACTTGAACATGAATCAACTTTCTTTTTTAACAGATCCTCTTAAACCAAGCTCTCTCAGCCTCCCCCACCTGCTGCTAGTAGATGGCTCAAAGATGCAGAGAACTGTGCTATGAAGAGGATCAGAATCAAAATATCTTATAACAAAGTGATCCTTTCACTTTGCACTCATCAGTTCCTTATAGTTCAGTCCAAAACTATGTTGACCTACCATGAGCTTTTGGGAGACACTGTTATACATCGAGTAGCGAGATGAAGTACCCTCCACAAGAGAGTCTTGTTTGAACTCATTGCTGAAGACTGGTCTTTTTTCATCGCTCTCGCTGTCAGATCCACTGCTGCTACTGGAAGACTCTGAAAAAAAATGAAAAAGTGAGAAAAGTGAGAATGAAAATAAAAATAAAATGGCAGACAGACACCTCAGTAACTACATTAAAATACAGTGTGACTCATTAAATCCTCTCAACACACACTTGGAGGACATTTCAGTATCTCAAATGTGCTATGGGAAGCACACAGGTGTAATATAAAATACCCTGTGGAACCAACACCTGGTTATCTGCCCCTTTGTCTCAAGGACCCACATAGCCTCTCTGAGTCAAAGGATTCCAGGCCCCACAAAGGGCTGGGCAAACCCCATCACAGCAGTAGAGCAGCCACAGCATAACCATGATAGTACTGTGATGTGCCTGACCTTTGCAATGATCCTGAGAAATTGAGAAGGTCCTCAGGGATTCTCTCCCAAGAATAATAACAGTTACACCTTGATGAAACATGCTGAATTTTCTTCTGTATCCTATCTAACTACAAGTGTAAATGCATCCCTAACTTAACTAAAAATCTGCATCCAGTACCCAGGCATCTACAAAATGGCCAACACCACAGAAAGAAGAGAAATTTAAACTTTGAGCCCCACTACCCACTTCAGTAGCAAGGATCCACAAGTTCACTACAGCAACTGAGACAGCTTTTTACCTCTAGAGTTTACCAATACATACAAACTCAAGGAAAAGAAAAGGTCAGAAGACATCAATCTTTTTTAAAATATTCTGACAAAGGTTTGAGGATGAACTTAATAAAATCACATTAAGGGGTTGGAAGGGACCTTAAAGAACATCTAGTCCCACCCCCATTGCCATGGGTGGGAACACAACCAAGTCAGTGGTTCAAACAAGGTAATAAGTACCACCATACACTCAAAATAAACTTTTGTCACCTGAAAGTCACCTGAAACTGATGTGTCAGAGCCTTCATGGGCACTAGACAATGAAGCTCTGTCTATGCCCATTTTCACCTTTGGATCTAGTCAGGAGGAACCTCGGTCTGCATGAACTGTACAGTCCTCGCTGAGCTCTATAGTTGTGAGATGCCCAAACCTATTTGCTTTGGGCTGGACGTAACTGGGATCTGGGCAGAAATCATGGTAGTGTCATCATTTCTCTCAGTCTGCTCTGCACCAGGTGGGTGACAAGGGAGGCCCTAAAACCCAGTGAGTCCTTCCATTTCTCTTGTGGTGATATCACTATGAGGATGAAGCAATGGCACAAGTTTCCTTCTGAAATTTGCCTAGCACCTCATCAGTCATACTACAGCTAATGCTGTGGGACTGACCATACAGACCACAGGAGCAGCAATCCACAGCAAGTACAGCCACACTCTGCACTGGATCCGTGCCTCTTGAGCCTCCCTTGTTAGCCAAGCACTAGAAATCATTCTGTGTTACTTTGTACAACTAGAAGTTGATCTACAAAAGTTGCCCAGAGATAAAGCAGAAAATTGTTAGAAGAGTTGATCTTTTTCTGTGTATCACTTAAAAGGGAATTATTTAGCTTCACAGATGTGTTAAAAAAAGAGACATTATAATCACCTAAAAAGGACTGAACTTCTCTTACGTTTGTCTAATTTAAGAGAAATCAGACTATTTCTCTCTCAACTCACAGATCTCTCTATTTTCCTGTTCTGGAAAACTGAGCATCAGTGAAGTAACAGGAAATAGCTGAAAAATTAGCAAAAAAAGGCCATTACAAAAAAAATGAAGTGAAAATGAATGACACCACTGTGAAATATATATAGTTAAAATATATATAGTTAATATATATATAGTTAAAATATATATAGTTAAAAAATCCTTTCAATGTGTCCTCAGAACTTGTTGCTGAACTATCAGTTTTTAAGAGTCAGGACTTGTGTCCCCACATAACTACTACACTAGAGTTTTACAGTATCAACCTTAGAGGCTTCCAGTTCAGAGAAGGAAGGCTACAATTCAACTTGCGCTTGCAACATTCTATACCCATCTTCATTTTCAAACATCTGTCACACATGCTACATTTCTCTTTCCTTCACAAAGTTCATAGCTAAGAACAGGCTCACAAAGGACTTTTGCTCTGGGGTCAGTTACAGCATTCTGCTTCTTCAACACACAGCTTCAATTAACTTTGCTACCTGCTTCTGAGCTGTGTCTTATTTTCCAGAGATCCATAATGTGCCTTAAACACAATAGCCACTACATAAGTCTTAAGGAAGTCTGTTCACAACTCTTCTTGTTTTTAATATTTGCTAGGCCGTGCTCAGCTGAGATCAGATCTCAAATCAGTTCTTTCCCCTGAACTCCCTTCTTTACCCGGAAACCACAATGGGTGTAATGGGCTGTTAAACAATTTATGCTACCTAAAACCTTGTTCTAGAACTGTATCAACTTGTTTCTTAAACACTAAGGGTCACAGCCTGTTTTGACCCATTTATGAACTCATTAATCAAAAGGGGGGAAAAAATGAAAACAACCTTTGGTTTGAGTTGTTTAGCTCAGCCCTGAGTGCACCAAGCATTCCCTACCCCAGCTCTCACAACCTGCACCTCTGACCTCCTCACTCACCTGGGGCCTTGCCAATCAGGTACACACACAATACCCTGCAACTGCAGCTACTCACAGACCGACCCACTTATCTCCCATACACATCCCTTTCCATTTTCACCAGAGGAAGGCTTCTTCATGTGTTCAGGCCCTTCCTCACTAACACTTCAATACCACAAGAAATCCCAAGACTCAGAAGCAGCAGGCATGACTGGGAGGCAACCTGAAGTACCATCTTGAGAGAGTTTAAAGCATCCTGCAACAGCGATACCAATTGTGTGGAGCACTCGCTTCATCTTTGGTATACCCCAAGCTCCAGGTGAGAAAGCACACTCCAACAAAAAGCACGCAATTAGTTAACTCTGAAACAGATTTTCTTTCTGAAATGAAACACCTGTGAGCCCTCACAATTTCCCTCTTTCCCCCGAAAAAATCACACTGAGCCAGCAAAAGAAATGGTGCTACAATGTAGGAGCCTAAATCAACCTGCCCCTTTGTGTTCATCTCAATTTCTCCCATCTGCAAAAATATGGTAAGATTAACAATTTCTTTCTATTTTTTAAACAAAATTAAGATTGCAATGGTTCTTTATGGTACAGTATTCATAACTCCTCACTACCGAGAGTCTCCAAACCAGAAATAGCTGCTGGGACTTAAAAGATCAATGCTGCTCATATATTACAAGAATCTTTATAGCTTTGGATGATGCACACGTCATCTACCTCAAACTCGATTTTCTACGTCTGAATTCATACAATTCCCAGATCAAAATGTTTACATGAGATTTTAAAAAAGCTTAAAAAAAAATCACACCAATTCAAGGCTGTGAAAAGAAATAATGTAGTTTTTTTCTAAAGAGAGAGCATCCTCTTGAAGTTCTGGCTATCAATTAGGATTTAAGAGAAGTAGGTTTAACTCCTAGTTATTACTTAGATTCCCTGCAGCAACATATACCAAATCTCCAGTCTTACCTTGAGTAGTATGATTACTAAATTGATTTTCATCATCTGAAGTAGAACTGAGGGTTAATCCCAAATCTTCCAGCCTCTTCTTCTGCTTATTTTGTGGGCTGCTAAACTCGGGTTCTGTCCTTCTCTTCATTTTTTTGCTGAAATGCTGAAAGAAGATAATCACACTTGGCAAACATTAAGCAAATTAACTTTCTGTAAGGTACAGCAGCATAGTGACATAGATCATTTTATGGACTGCTCGCTGTTATGCTTCTCAAATTTATTTAGATAACTTAAATACATGGCAGTTGATTATTACTACTACTGAATCAAAGACGCATTTTTTGGTGTGGCTGAGTAAAATGAAAGATCAATCTAATGGAGAATGTGCAAGGTGGAACCAGTTTCTCACAAGAGACTCTGAACAACTCTGACCTCACCTCTGGAAATGTTAATTAATAAAGGAGCTTTCCTACATGACTTTTGTAACAGAACATTATTAAACAGGTGTGCTCCAGTTGGGGGTGGGGGTGTGTTTTTCACCGGAAATCACTGGCGAGATAAGAAGCTTCTAAGTGTGGCTGATAAATTTCACATAAACCCAGAGAAAAGACGAACGCTTAAGACGGAGTTAATAGAAGCCAGCTGGGAAGGCCTGCAGAGTACAAGAACCAAGAAACAGGAAAGCAGGTGAAAATTAAAAGGCAAAAACACTTAGCACACTAGCTAAAACCTCCCTGTTATTGAACAAAAAAAAAAAAAACAACAAACAATTAAACCCCTATTGGTGTTTATTATTCTACATAGGAACACTGGGCTAGAAATGGTGCCCCAGGTCACCAATTCAAACCCTCTGTTATCTAACTTATTTCCGCAAGCACATACAGGGCAGTTTAAGGCCAAAAGCTTTATTCATCCCCACAGTCCTGAGTGCAAAACGATCCCATAACCTCACTGCACTATGGCTAGAAAATCTTTTCCACTCTACAAGAAATTCTGTTACAGACAACTCACCTTTATCTGCTCTTGCCTCAATTTAGGGTTTTGCTTTTTCCCCTGCCTCTAACAAACTGGCCATTTTCTATTTTTTCTGAGATAGTCTCTTATTAGGCTAACACGCTCTTAGTTTACCCCCGACAGCTCCCTCTAGAGAACCCCACTAAGGGTCGCTCACCGCATCTGCCTTCCTGACAGATTTCAAACCAAGAAAAATTAAGGGCAAAGTCAGGGATACCCCGTCCGTCCGTCGGGAGGCCCTCCGCTGCACCACCGATGTGCCCGCGGGGCGCTCCCAGCCGGCCTCGCACAGAACCACAGAATCAATTAGGTTGGAAAAGACCTCTGAGATCATCGAGTCCAACCTATGGCCGAACAGCACCGTGTGAACTAGACCACAGCAACAGGTGCCACATCCAGTCTTTCCTTAAACACCTCCAGGGAATGCGACTCCAGCACCTCCCTGGGCAGCCCATTCCAATGTCACATCATCCCCTCTGGTCAGGGACTCCTCCTGATGTCCAACCTAAACCTCCCCTGGCGCACCTTGAGGCCATGTCCTCTCCTCCTGTCGCCTGCTGGCTGGGAGAAGAGGCCGACCCCACCTGGCTACAACCTTCTCTCGGGTAGTCGTAGACAGCAATAAAGTCCCCCCGAGCCTCCTTTTCTCCAGACTGAACACCCCCAGCTCCCCCAGCCACTCCTCACATCGCTTACCCTCCAGACCCTTCACCAGTTCTGCTGCTCTTCTCCGGACCCTCACCGCACCGCCCGCACCGCAGCCCCCGGTGCCGGGGCCGAGCCGCGGAGCCGCCCGGGGGGAGGGAGCCCGCGGGAACCGCTGGCGGCCGCGCCCCACGCTGACTCGCACACGGCCGGGGCCCGCGGGCAGCGCTGCGCTGGAGCGGGCGGCAGTGGCGGCAGTGGCGGCAGCACCGGCGGGGGTGGGCTCCGGAGGGCTCCGGCTTGCAGAACGCGGCGGGGGGAGGACGGGAGGCCGCCGCTCCTGCGCCGCCGCCGCTTTCGTTTCCCCGCTCGGACGCGGCGCCGGCCCCGCCTCCGCCCCGCCCCTCGCGCGGGGCCTGCCCGGCCCGCCGGCGCGCGGCAGTGACGCACCGCCCGATCCCGCAGGCGGGCCGGGGGCAGTCCCGGGACGCGGTGTGAATGGAGCGGGATGCGATGTAAAGTGCCAGATATTCTTTTTTTTTTTTTTTAATATGTTGGATGGGTAAACGTGTGTCTATCGTGTGTCGTATCCAGAGCTGGGGTTGTTCATCCTGGAGGAGGTCCAGGGGTGACCTCGTCACTCTCTACAACTACCTGAAAGGAGGTTGTAGCCAGGTGGGGTCGGCCTCTTCTCCCCGGCACCTAGAGACAGGACAAGAGGACATGGCCTCGACCTGCGCCAGAGGAGGTTTAGGTTGGGCATCAGGAGGAATTTCTTCATAGAAAGGGTGATTGGACATTGAAACGGACTGCCCAGGGAGGTGGTGGAGTCACCGCCCCTGGAGGTGTTTAAGGAAAGGCTGTTCATGGCACTCAGTGCTATGGTCTGCTTGGCAGGGTGGTGTTAGGTCAAAGGTTGGACTCGATGATCTCAGAGGTCTTTTCCAACCAAACTATGTGATTCTGTAAGCTGCCTTGTACTTTGCATTAAGCTGTAAACCTGGGGACATACAGCTCAGCACACGGGCCTGAATGCTTAGTCTCAAAAACGAAAGCAAACATGGTAACACCAAGGGATAGGAGGATCCTACTTGAGAAGTGTAGTTCAAGATTATCTAGTTGCTGTTTGTGTTGCTGTTGCTGTTTGTTGTGTTTGATTAGGTCAAGTTATGGCAAAAGGGACCAGGAGGAGGGAAGGACAAGGAGGAAATAAAACATTGACTAGTCAGAATACACCTTTGGAAAAGAAAACCCAGACTTCACCTGGGGGGAGAGGGGCACAGCTGGAGTATTAAATTGCCTGTTACATGTCCTGCAAAGTTAAATGACAGTTGTTGGTAAGGCTCTGCAACAATCTGTAGCAGGATGCTCTGCCTGGAACGGGGAAAACAACAATGCCCTATTTGCAAAGCTATCAGTGGTAAATGAAGAAGGGGTCATCATGCTGCTTTTGGTGTTGACTAATGCTGAATCCAGTCTGACTTCTTAACACCAGTTAAACATCCTGATAGCGAGATGAATATGTGATAAACCTGGTGAAGTATCCAGATAAAGGAATAAACAAGTGATACTACTGATAACATACCTAAAGCTGCTGAGCTGACACAGCTGGCCTGGAGACATATGACTGACAGTCAGTCACTTTATACTATAAAAGCCCAGTCCCAAATTTAACGGGCAGGGTCTTCTGACATACCCCTTCTTGGAGTGTATGTGTGGAGATTCCTGCCTTGGGGGGAGACACCCTTCAAGGTTACTCCTCGAGGCTGAGCAAAAGAGATTTGGTCATTGGTATGGGTTGAGTAACATCAATCTCTACTTAATAATTGGGTTTTGCTAGCTTTAATACAATTGCTTTAATATAATTGCTTCAATACTGCTTCATAGTGCACTACAATAGTTGTTATAGCTCCTATAGTGTGTAGTAAATAATTCCAATTAAGATATTTTTGTCTGATTATTGTCATAATAAATGAGATATATATATATATATAAATATAAATATATCTGGTTTGCCATCCCATGGGACACAGCTGTATAAAGGTTCAATTACACCTATATAATCCTTTACACTTAAACCGTTGACAAAGCCTGGGGCTAAGGCTGGATCCAGCCAGGCTGCTCTCAGAGGAGTTTATAAAGCAAGGGTGCCCTTTCTGCACCTTGTGACTCAACAGGAGGCCTTCTTAATAAACTTTTGTCTGAAGCTCCCATTCTGCCTTTGACAGGCTCACCAAATACTAAGATGGTAGATTTTTCTTGCACATGTGATTGTCAGATTCATCTTGGGCTCTGTAAGTCTCCAAGAGTTAAACATTCCCCTGTGATGTGATGATCCCCTTCCATAATCCATTAGCACTCCTTCCCAACTATTTCTCTGATGCTGCTAGACAATGTATTCCTCTGAAATTGTTTGATTAACACACTGCTTGACAGCTGTCTTCCAGTGGAAAGCAGCAAGTCTTGAACCTGCATCAAGACTGCTGTGCACCAGCTGTGACTAGCTCAGCTGTAACCTGAATTCTGGAAGCGCTTGATGCCATCCCAAGACAAGAATGTTATGTTCAGGATATAATGCCTCCAAGGCATTACAACCAAGTAATTGTACAACCAAGTAATTGTACAACCAAGTAGAAGAAAGGATCCAGAACTTAGACCAAAGGAGAGCACACTGCTAGAAACACAGGTCTGGTTTTGTCAGTGAAAAGCTTTTGCAAGTGAACAGTATTATTACTTCACCTCTCTCTGTGGACCTTTACACGTTATGCACCTACCAATAAGAGTGGAAATGGTTTGGTATACCACTTACGTTCTTCATGTTCTAGTGAAAAGAGGACACACTCAGAAATTGCACCAAAGATTACCATTCTGTTACCCGGGCAAGCGTTCTCCTTCTCTGCAACACCAGTATAATAAAATATATATATATTTCACAAAATGAAATGAGCAAAAAAAACCATGGAAGAGATACACAGTAGAAGAATTTGCAGTCCTAGGTAACCAGAGTATTTTCCTTCTACTCCTCTTCATTGAGAATGCCTGTTTTACATCAGCCTATTTCATGAGCGTTTTGAGGAACATTGTTTTGCACATCCTAGAAAGCACATATTCACAAAAGAAACTTTCGAAAGCACATACAGCAAGTGAATATTAAAAGAGAAAGAATAATGTGCAAGACATAATGTCTCCTTCACAAAAGAAATCTTACACTAAAATTTTAAGCAAGTTGCCTGGCCCTCAGATCAGCCCCCCCCCCTCCCCCCCGGTTTAAGTCCTACCAGTAAATGTCAGAATGCACTAACTTCCTAAGGACAGCATCACCTTTTAATGGGATCTTTCTTCCTGTGGAAGAAGGTAAGAGGTATGATTTGTACCTACTAAATTAGTATTAGGGTAGTCACAGTCTTTTATCAGTGCCTCAATACAAGAGTCTTTCAAGTAACTTTACGTACCCACACTGCTTACAGCAGTCAAAACATGAAGCAAAGTCATTAAATGAGATGGCCTCTCTTTTCTCAAAAAAAAAATAAAAAAAAAATCTAAAGATGACTAGGAGAAAGACATTCATCTCAGTGGCTGCACAAAGGAAGACTAATGCAGAAATGGATTTATATTTTCGTTCTTAAACAAAATAAACATAGAAACAAAAGAGCACATACAAATAGCCGAAGACATACTACAGATGAGAAGGGCTTCCCCATCTTCTATGAGTCCTTTCCACGTAACAGCTAAGTCAAAAGCATAAGCCACTGGAAAATGGAACTTGATAGACAAATACATGATAGGATGAGGCAAGACTTGCTCAGTCTCTTAGGGACGAGTGATTTTCTGTGAGAGTAGTATAACCCACAGCTCAACAGTGATGTTTTGTAAACAATAAAATGAAGTGCTTCATTCTGTGCCTTGTGGTTGCCTACAGATCCTGCTTTCCTACCCTGCCAACAGGACATTTCAATAATTTGGAGAGCAGCACTTCTGAAGAGGCAGAGGTTCCTCTCCGCTGCTGACTAAATGTTTCTGAAGTCACTGCTAATAATTTCTGGATTTGCTGCTTCCCAGTTCTAAAACCTTTATGCAAAAGCCTGAAGAGGGAGCAATCCAAAGACACTACATGAAAAGAGCACTAGCTAAGGAATTCTGGAAGATATAATCTCCTTCATCCCTATCTAATGGAAAATAATTTACATAAAAAGAGAGCTGATGACCAGTAGCTCAGCTCACAATGCACTTACGGCTGACAGGGTCCATAACCCACCCTTTATTATCTTTACTGCCCGAGGCCTGGGATGACTCTAGCTGCCGTATGAAATTCAAGGGGAAAACCCACCCTGGCACTTTTTCCTGACATACGAATTTCCTGCCTGCTGGTGGGGATGGCCAAGTTCTCAAATACCTTGGGCCATTCCCTCTGCTGCCTGAAACAAGGGAAGCTGATGTACACATTTAAACATGTCATTCACTGAGGAAAAGGGCAATGATGCAATAGAAACTATTACATTACACCAAGCGGGTCACAAGCTATCATGGAAGCTTAGGGTTTGTAGGTCAACTAGCTAGCATAACAGCAGTTTGTTCTCTCCGACCCCAATTTTGTTTTAGAGATCAAGGTTCTGTATATTCATTGAAAAAACAAGGTACTTCTTCGAAATGCTGCTAGTTCTGAGCTCCAGCCTCTTCATAGAGTCTCTGCTTCCAGGTGTCCAGTCTGCTCCTCCAGCAGCACTCAACCAAACACCATTAGGTTGGTTCTGGGCAGCACACAGGCAAACAAGTCCGCAGTAACAGTGTTCAGATAATGTAATAGCTTTCATTATAGTAAAAACCCTCCTCAGACTCCTCACTGTCACAACTGTTTATCGACAAGATGGAGTAGGTGGAGGAAGTGACATTGTTGTCATTGTCTGTGGCTGGTTTCACCATCACATTCTGTTTCTCTGCATTCAAAACACACAGATACAAAAGTTAGCTGTGACTGCAGTACCCACAAGTGTTAATTACCAGTTGTCTGAAACTATATTATAGCCTCTCACTGAAGATT